AAGATTTGTGGCATATCTGGTCCAAAAATGGAGATGTTATAATGAAGGATAAATTATATTGAAACCATTGAATATCTATGGTTTCGATGAATCAGTCAGTTAAAATGAGGATTAGTGAATAATAGGCAGTAAATGTTTGTGATATGAGAACTCCCCAAATATATGGGGGTGTATGGTATGTATTGATCGTTCAGTAGTTGTCGGCTTGATCGACTGTACATATTTTTTCCTTCAAACTAAATGGATTAATAATAAAATATTTAAAAGTATTTGAACTACAGTGTCAAGTTGTATATAGACATTATTATTCCAAACGTGTACATAAGAACCTCTATTTGAATATCCACATGACCATTTCAACCTTATAAAATATTTAAAGTAGAAATAGCTCTATAAAACTTAAATTCTATTCAACTTATAGTGTTTAAGAATCTTTTTTAATGTATGTATCTTTTAAGCAATAATAGTTCAAGTTTATAGATTATTGTGTAGATTATATAAGAAGATTATTGTAGGATTTGTTTGGATAGGATTCATTATAATATATTGTTTTTATATCCTGCATCAAATTTTAAAACTCATAATTTTAAATTTCTTTCCAGTAATTTCATTTTTTAAGATTTAATTTCCGCGGTTCAATTCAATTTGAAATTCCGATAAATTAATTAAAATTGAGTAAAATGTTAACATTCTGAAAATTCTGCATTATTCAAATTTTTTCATTGATTAATTTTTACTGACTAACAATTAGTTAAATAAAATATTGTTTAACTTTTCAAAACGAAAGCCTTATGATATCTTCAGATATCGTGAAGACCGATTTCTAATGACTTCAGATAACTTAAATAACCTATTCCTAAAGATCAGAAAAAGATTATTAAATATAAATCAATATCGAACTACATTAATACCTAGTTTTCAATTGTTCTTTTTTTTAAACTAATGTCGTGAATTCGCCCAAAACCCGGTACTGTGGCAAGAAGAATCTTTTTGTACCAAATTCTCTTTTTATTACACAAAACCCTCTACAGCTTTATGAACAAAATTCAGAAAATCTGGAGAAGAGCTCTAGATTCTTCTGTGCGTTGTTAAGGCCGGACAATAACAAAAAATATGCATAGTTATTTCCACATCTTCGAGGCATAATCGCTATTTTGAATTAGGATATAATTGAACTTTATGTGGGTGAACATTTGAGACCAGACCATAATGACTCGTACCTAGTTTCCTAACATGCCGTTCTCCATATTTTCAGCATGTTCACTGATACTTGTAGATTCTATAAAAAATAAACAAAAACATCCGCCTATCTACTATTCAAATAGGTTTTGAAGTGACAACAAAATTTGTTCCAAAATTATTGAATTTAAAAAAAAAAAAACACTATGACATATTTATCGCTAAATAATTTTGGAATAACGCTGTTAGTGATACTATTCTATTCTATTCTAGAATAGAATACAATAGTATAGTGTATTATGAAATCTTTGCCGACTAGTCGTTCGATGAGGCTCTCAAAGCTTAAGCTAGGCAGAGCAAATATTTTGCCTCTTTTCAAAGCTCTTTTCATTAAATGTAATTAGTGCTTAATTTAATCTACGGCTTATAACTCTTCATTGTTCTAATTAATTTTTTTACATATGTAAAATAAAATACATAATCTGGAATATAAAAAAAAGGGAATATAATATTTTTCAAAATAATTGACATGACACGTTCTGAGTGTTCTCAGGTAACAATATTTATATAAAGTTAAGGTTTGCTGGAGGTTCTCACTGTAATAGGTCTCTTCTGGTCAAAATAAAATATCCAGCAAATAACATTTCATCTCAAAGTCACTACGTCAACTTGGCATAAGTTTTGCTGGAACCTTCCCATTCCTATCCATTATCAAGTCATCGTCATTATCAACAGAAACTATCACTTTTACTTCCTCTAAAATTCAGTAGCACCGTTATTATTATTATGTGTAATTCTAATATTGAGAGTCAATGTTCAAAAACCAAGACTTATTTTTTTGCCTATAGACCACCGGCCACAAAGTTCAGCACCTTGATAATTAAGTTGTTAATATAATTTAAAAAAATCATCATTCTTGATGTTTAATTGAGAAACCGCATGTTCAATGTACTGATTTCTAGAAGCGTAATGAAGTTTTACTCACAAAAATAAGGACGAAATCCAATCAGTAGTTTATTTGACAAGACATTAAAGAAGTTGGTTTTTAATGGAAAAGATATAATGGCTATGAGAATAATGTCTGAAAATAGGTGACCATTAATTGAGAAACCACTTCATTCTACGAATGTGATTTAAGTAATGAAGTTGGGATAGTGCCTCTTTGATACCAGTTTAACACACACTTCATTGCTCGGAAATCTATTTAGAATATGTTGAATCGACTACCACAGTTGACTACCGGGTTCTGGTATTGAAACTTAAAGGGTGGGTGATAATTAATGAAGCTTTGCCAATTCATGAACTGTTTCTGTTAGCCGCAACTAAACTTTCTTATGAAAAACAATATAACTTTATTTGAAGCAACAATATCAATTAAAGTAACAAAAAAATATTTAAGAGAGCCACTGTATGCCTGCACAAATCTTCAAAGAGAAAAATAAGGACAAAAAACTACAGCATATTGAATTTGGTCCGAAGATTTCGACACTTGGGAGGTCGCGTTATATACTTTAACGGATTACCAAAAAGACAGTAGAGTTCAGCATTGTAAATACAAACCCTTGTAACTGGTGATGAAACATCGAAACACGAGGCGAAAACAAAACGTTACAAGGCATCTTATCAATATAGACTGGAGTGATATAGTAGAAAAGTAGCATACTGAATTTTTTATTTCATGAGCAGTTCTATATTTTAAACTTCAGGTAAGATCTTTGACTAAGAGAAAGCACTTCAAAACAAAATTTTAAGGTTACAGTACTTTATTCTATAACGAAGTGAGTAAGGACAGTTGTGTGACTCTAAATCCGTAGAACTTTAAGTTGATAAAACTGGCAATGTGATGTCACATTACATTTTGACAAATATTATCTTTGAGTTGTATACTATAGTATTTGGATTAGAAATCAATATTAATTTCCGTATATAATTATAGCGAACAATCGTTATATTTCCATATTTCTTCTGAATGGAAGAAAAACGAGTATCGTTTATATATTAAATATCTATATATAAATATTTAATATAATATTAAAATATAACTTAATGCCGTTAGTAAGAACGATTTTGACAGAATAAAGTTTATAGAATATCTGAGGTAGTTTTTAAGACTATATTCAATTGACTGGTTGATCATACATGCTTTAGTAAATCATAATGTCCGGGATGCCCAATACAGGTTGTTACGTTATGTATATAACGTTATGTATATTGTTTCGATTGATTAGCGAGTGTGAGTGCACTAAATAATTGATTGTAATATTGGTATATCATTTGGCGAATCAGTACCAGATCAGAAAGTATCATGAAGACTACTAACTTACTTATTTGGTCATAAAACCCGATACCGAGGTTCGGCCTGACGCAGCATGTCTCCCGAGGTGCCTCTGCTGCGTCCACACCTTCTCCAGTTTCGTACATCAAGTCCAGTTACTGCTTGATCACTCCACTGGAAACACGATCTACTTCTACGTCTTCTACCGCGAACTACTGCTTCAAACATATTCGCTGGAACATTTTCATCCATTCTCACGACATGACCAAGCCAACGAAGCTGCTGGATGTTAATTCGCTGAAATATATCAATGTCGTGACAAAGCTCGTACAGCTCGTGGTTCATTCGTATGCGGTAGTCTTCGCCAACTCGTAGAGGACTACGCTTAATAAAAAAATGAATTAATTTAAAAAAATGTGCTTTATTTTATTATTAACAAAACAATTTATTGACTTGCACTTGTGTAGTAAGAATAAATATATATTTCGTGTTTTTTTTTTATTTTCTTATTTAATTGGTTCTAGTTTAATAAAAGAGCTATTGACTTGATATATATAAATGAAATTTTATGGCAAAGCCAAATTTTCTTTCTATATGGAAACATTTCTTTCAAATTATTGTTTGTCCAGGGAAGATTAATTTAAAATTTATGTTTCATTTGTGTTGTGTTTACACTGTCACATTTAACTCGAAAAATGTGCAGCAATTAGAACAATTTTTATACAAAATCTATTAACACCGAGTTTAATTTCTGGTACTTGCAATCTCAAAATATTATTTACAAATAATTAAATACAAGAATTATTTCCAAGGTGGGTTTTTGGCAATACTCGAAACAGCGGTATGGTCAGCCAAAAATTCAATTAATTAAAATAATATAATATGAATTTTTGTTCTTGTAGTTCACAAGTGTTCGAAAAAACCTTTTTTTTAAAAAATGCCCTAATGCTGTTCGATAATTGTTTAAAATACTTTAATTTTTTAAATTAGCTCAAATTATTTGGAATACTCGTCCATATTTTAAGTAAATATTGAAAATAAAAATAATTCTATATTAGTAGTGAAAGCCCTACCCTGAAAGCCTTTTCGAGTTCTTCAAAATTATTATATATTTATGCTTTTTACTATAAGTTACTTGAAATTTGAAGGAGGGGATTACAAGGATGAAATAATGTGTGATATACTTTTTTACTGGTTGGGGTGAAGATCTTCAAAACTATTTGAAATCAACAAATCCACCATAATTAAATGAAATTAAAAAAACTTTGCGGTCATCAACATTTGAATAAAAAAAAATACATACATATTTATTTATAATTTGATACTAATGGATATTTACAGAAAATTAATTATTCACCACTGAAAAGATACAAATCAAAAGATAAACCACACAAATTTTTCGCTGCGATTCCATTTTTGTATTGCCAATTATTAATTTATTTTTAAAATTTTATTTTATTCCTTTTATCTTTTATTTTTCATTTCAATAAAATACTTTTATTTATATGTATATGTATATATATAAATGTGTGTACATGTGTTTCAGATCCATATCAGCTTTTAAACGCTGCCTCGCATCGATTGGTCGCACAGGGTTCAGGGCAGATACAATTGTGGCAATTTTTGCTGGAACTTCTTGCTGATTCGTCGAATGCATCGTGCATTGCTTGGGAAGGCACCAATGGCGAATTCAAGCTTATCGACCCCGACGAAGTCGCAAAGCGGTGGGGTGAACGCAAGGCCAAACCCAATATGAATTACGATAAACTTAGCAGAGCTTTAAGGTAAAAAAAAACCAAAAACAAAAACAAAGCATGTACAATATTTGAAAGCAATATGTGCGAAGTTCAATCAATAATGGAGTGAACGAAAAAAAAACACAACCAAAGCAAAATTTTAACACGAAAATTGATTTAAAATAAAAAATTCAAATTAAAAAATTCACGTAAATAAATATTTGAAATGTGTAAAAAATATATTTTGTTTAAAAAATTTGTGTATAATTGGAATACGAAAAATGCTTTCCGCACACCATTTGGGTAATGCCGGTAAACGGGTAACGGCTAACGGGTAAACAGGTAATAATATTACGTTTACATTGTGAGATTAAGAGAACGCGATTAAGTTAATCTCCATTTTTAATCTCCACCGTTTACATTATTCATTGAAGATAATTGTTGACGCTTATCTTCGTATATTCTGTTTCGTGAAAAATTTCTGTAAATAAAATGTATAATATAAATTTAAAATAAATTGTTTTATAACAATAATTTAACAAATTTTAGTTATAATTGTGTACAAAACTATTATTAAACAAATTTAAAATTTAAATTTATAATTTATTCACTTTGACATTTTCAAAGTTTGTTTTGCATAAATTTTGCCATTTTTTTCCCAATTTCTCTGGGATCGTAAAAAAATCTATGATATTCAGCCATATGCAAATTGCACAAAAAAATTATCACCATTTCTGAAGAGATTAAGAATTGATCTCGACCAAAAAGAGCCTAACTTTTGTATGGAAAATCTGCGATTAAACAACGAGATTAGTACTTTGTTCTCGATTATTGCTTTAATCTACTTTTAATCTCACAATGTAAACGCCGTAAACGCAGTTCAGCATAAATATTTAATATTTTTTAAAAAATTTGTAGAGTTTCGGATCTAAACAACTCGGATCTATATTTATTTGTTATAAAATTTCATCATTATATTTTTGTAAAAATAATGTACATAACTAACACATCCAGCTTTTAAGATCAATTTTACTCCCAGAAGAGAATGTTTTGCAAAAATAATGTTATCCTGACATTAAAAAAAAATGAGACTTAATGTTGAATGCAGCTAAGTTTCTGAGCCTACCTGCTGGGTCATTATAATGAAACTTGACAGGTTTTCTCTCTATAGATTCCGGTCTCTTATTTTCAGTTTCTTACTTCAACCACAGCAACTACAGACAAGACAAAGAAAAATACAAAGCAAGCCTAGTTACACACAACATCATCATTCATCATTCCTTGTTATCATTTATAACTTTGCCACAATCAGTAGACTCAGCAGACTATTTTTTTTAAACCGGATTGCTTCCATATTGTTTCATAATTTGTGATCCACTTTTCATCACTTGTATCCAAATGTATCAAAAATAGTTCGTGTTTGCTCCATTTCACCAGCGAATCCCTTAGTTCATGAACCATCTAACATGGTCCATAATCCATAATGTCGTCGACAATTTTGGTAAGAAGTCAATCAAAGCTAGAGAAGTCTTTCACATATCAATTCTTAAAATGAAAACAAATTGAAAAACAAAAATATTAAAAAATTGTTATGCATCCAAAAATTACCTCATTTTATTCCCAAATGTCTATCACATGTAGGTCATTGAGGTTTCTTTAAATAAGTTATATTCTGTGGAAAAGCTTCAAGCCATTTTTTTACAAGTCTTAACAGTTATCACTTCATTCGAATTTACTACCTCAGATAAGTGGGTTTTAGAGCAACAATCCAATTAAATGTTCGTAATCAAAAAATATAGACCCTCCATCACCGCACGATAGTCCGAGTATATTTCTACATAAGTTAAAGTAAATTGAAAAGTTTTTTTGTAAAAACACAACACATTCTACTTTTTCTTCCAAATCGTTTTGTTGAAACTTCAAAAATTAGCTTTTGCTTCTTTGAGCGATATTTTAATCGAGCCCTATTTCTTTCATCGGAGAATACTTTTAAGTTCTATGAACAAACAATAGTCACTGAGAGTTATATCTGGAAAATAGACTGAGTGAGGAAAAATCGTAATTCACATAATTTGATCATCTTTATTATCATTTGTGATATGACATTATATTATATAGAAAAAACTTCTTGTTAATTTGGGAGTCTTTTTCAAATTCATCGTTCACTAATTGCATTATATTACATTTTCTATTGATGGTTTTTCCAAATTCAATGCATTCTGTGAATATTTTCTCCTTCTCCGGTGCCTTTTATCACTCTGTTTACACAGTTTTGTGGGGCACAGTGATGTATAATTCAAATTAAACCACCAAAACTCGATTTTCTAAACTAGTGGATGTATTAAAATGAAATGTCCTTTAAACTCAGAAAATCCCAACTTTTCATCATTTAATTTTAGTTTTGTTAGTTACGATGAAACCATAATTTATCTATAGTTACATATCGCATTCTTATTTCAGTTAGACATGCCTTAGATGTGCTTGGAATCATAAGTAATCAATTGTGAACATATCAACACCCACCCACATAACTACTTCACTAACAATTATAGCATAGCCAAATATTCATGTAAAGAAAAGCCCTCACATTCTCAAAAGGATGCGGTTCGTTCACTAGATGTTTGAAACTCCTACCTTGTACGGTAGTTTTTCGGATTAAGTGTACGAACAGTACCTTATTTTATTCCTGGTATCATAACGAGCGATTACTTGTATTTGACTGAACTTTGTTGCACAAGGCTGTCACTACCAGCTAGCCCTCACGTTATTTTGATATACGTTTATTTTGGAATCGAGGTAGCCGATTTCTTGATACTTGAATCATGATCATCCAAACCATATTTAACGATTGTTTTGTTATTGCGATTTTAAGCATATATTTTTATGTTATCAAGTTATTATATATACAAATATACAACTAAACTAATTTGACTTGCAATTTTTTTTTTCCAAATTTTTTAAATTATTTAATAAAAGTAGCTTTTTTTATGTATTTTTTTTCTTGCAGATATTATTATGATAAGAATATAATGACTAAGGTTCACGGGAAAAGATATGCCTACAAATTCGATTTTAATAGTCTAATGGCAGCATGTCAGGCTCAAGCACATGACACAACTGCTACAATGTTGAGTTCCTACAAACATCATCATCATAACCATCCCATAAATCCCACATATTCAACACATCAGCATCTTCATTCTCCATCATCAACGACATCGTCCAGTTTTGGCATTCCGTCGCCATCTTCTTCCAGTATGAGCAGCGTTATGCACTCAATGTGTCCAACAAATACAAATTTTCTAATACAGCCAACGACAAGTATAGCGCCCCCATCTGCATCTGCAACCGCACCTCCACCACCGCCCATGCCACCAATGCCAACAACAACAACAACTACAAACACCAATAAAACAACAACCACTACGAATAACACAAGCTCGTCCTCAACTATGCTCGCACGTACATACTGGCCGTATTCGCCACCACAAGCGTTTGAACCTCGCCCATCTCCCAATTCATACAATTAACTAAGATGATTATTTTTGCAATTAATTTACAATTATAGAAAAATTATTCATTATTTACTATCATAAATTTTCCAAAACCTACAACCACAACGGAAAAAGGTTACATACATGCCACGACCTTTCCACAGAGTACAAGTTTTATGCATCTTTCACCAGACACAGACACTGTAAGGAAGGTCACACTATAATCTCGCAAATCCTCCATTTAGCAACCTTATAAAATAGCACAACAGTTCACAAAGATGTCCTTGCAAGTAATGGGAAAAATTACATTGCTGACCTTCCTACGAATATATTTGCTTCGTTTTCTCTACGTGCGAGTCCACGTAATTTTGGTTCACGGCGTGAGAATGGATGATATGTTATCGGAAGGAGTGGGAAATTTACTATTTGCATTGAACTCTTATTAGATTTGATTTGTTAATTATAATATATAAATATAGTTTCTTTACACATATCAGATATTATTAAATACAGCTCATCAATAAAGAGCAAGGGGAAGTGCACAAAAAAAAAACATTCCATTTGGAGCTGCAAACCATAGAACGGAGGAGTTTATTAACTTTTTCAATGCCATTCATAATTAAGAAAAACAGTTTGGAATATGATGATATTTAGAAACCTTAAATCCACGAAGATTTTAACACTGTAGGAAACTAAAATACTACAGGTTATTTTTAAAAGATTTCAATAACAAATGTCATTTAAAATTGGGTGCACTCCGGCGATTGTCTTCCACAATGAGGATATTCAGTAACGTTAAAAAATTAGACTTTTTATTGTATTTTTATTTTTAATCTTTGATCTGAAAAAAAAAATTGTACAAAAATAAACACAATAATATTTAATAATATATTTTAAAAATTTGTTGTTTATATTTACCAATCCGGTTACGGCTCATTCCGAAAGTACGGCTCATCTAATGGTACTAGTAACCTGGAAATATTTTCATTACAAATAAATTGAGTCTACGATTCCGTCTCAATAATACTAGACCAACTTGCTTCTCTTTTTAGACAAAACGTTTTTCGATCTAATATGTGTTTTAACTATAATGATGTAAGCTTAAAACGATCGAATTCTCGCGGTCATGACACGTTTTTTATTATGAATCCAATAGTTGCATGATCAACTAAGAGTAACATGATGACACAAGATTATAATATAAAGAACTCTAGACATCAGTCTCCTTACAGTGAACTTTATAACCAAGTTTGTATTAAATTCTTTAGTAAGACTCTTTTCTCTACGTCCTTCTATTAAAAAAAACTGTAGCTTGAGTGTAACTGCAGTATATAGATATCTATAGATATCTGCGATGAATTGAATTGGTTGATTTATAAAAATAGTACACCTTTTTTGAGATCAAAAACTGATCTGTGGGACCAGGTTTTCATCATCATTAGTTTCATGTGCTTCGCGTTGGCATCGCATCGAATTAGCATGGGGATGCCTTTTGATGAACTACTGCGTACTAGCACGACCACCTCTTCCGGAGGAGTATTCCTATAATGCACCATGTTTGTAGAAGCCACAATTAAGTTTGGTCCATCTGGTATTTTGATCTTCACGGCTGTTACATCATTAGCACTATACAGTGGACAAAGAAAAGCATTAACACATATTATAATTAGGATACATGATCTTGGCTTACCATTATTCCTAATATATAGGTTATTGTAATTTTTCACCATCAGCTCCATAACGTCCTTATCGCTGACCCATGACTTTTGCACAATGCTGACGTCAACGTCCTTCTCGACTAGATGGACGACGAGATTATCTGAGGAGATTTTCGAATGTAGAAGATTGGTTTGTGCTACCTTTAACATTAGAGTAGGCTTACGACGTCTCCGATACTCTTCCTGAAACTTCATATTGTCGATCAACTTATTGGCACACTCTAACTTATTATTTTCGTCATCGTTGCTTGTTGTGCAAAAGATTTGAATTTGGATACCGCACACGAAGCCTGAGCTTGCAGTTCATTTTTTCTATTGGTTTAACGGATACCTCGTTTATTACTATAAGAAGCGTCATATTATTTTTGTGGGTGCTCTCTCGATAACATTACTTGATGACTACCCAGTCGTTCAGAAGTTGGAATACTTTCCCATTTTTACTTGCTCCATTTTTATAATTCATAGCCAAATGCGAGCCGTTGGTCGTCTTGGAATTTCATTGGCTGGGAAGCTTTAAATCTTTCTATACATCACTAACTTTGGCAATCTGTTACAAAGAAGTTCCTTGGACAATTAATCGTCGTACTTAAAGACTCTGCAACCACGCCCCACTTCTGATAAATTAAAATCTGGTGTGGGGGCATCTAGATTTGCTAAACGGTATGCCATCACCATTTCAGATACCCTGGGCTCAATCTCACCCCATATCCTTTCAACACCTTTTCCCATTGCCAGTAATGTTATCAATGAGCGCCACCTGTACCTCGTCCCTTGCTATTTCGCTATATTTTCTTCTAGCGCTCGTTGACGGTTTGCTGTTTGATGGCATTTTCGCCAATTTGTTACATGAAGTATGAGCTGTCTAATCCTGAGACCGATTAATTGCTCAAAATTAGGGAATGTTTTTGAAAAATAGACATGACAACGTATCGCAATAGATGCGACAATTTGACAACAATTTGATTTTTGTAAAATTAACTACTCTGAGCAAGTTGTTCTATTATGCTGCTTATCGATATCGCTTGATTCTTGAGATATAGAGCTTAAAGGGATTTTTTATATGATTTTTTACATGAAAAATATCTTCATGTCGTAGCGCCATCTATTGTCAAGCAGTATTTCCAATTCTTACATTGCTTACACTAATGATTGTTAAAATTCTAAATGTTGCGTGAAATTTTGTTTGTACTTGTTTTACAATTTTAAAGCCCGATATTTAGAGAACCCTACTATATATCATATACCGCAGTAGAAAGTTATTTGGAGTAGTAAAATTAAAGAGGATCCGCTGTTATATATGGTACCATACAAATCACTATTGTGTCGCTGCTTTTTCCTCTTATGTGTGCGATTCCCACTGCGGTGAACACGCCAGCGACATCGGACAAAGTGTTTTGATAGTTTTTCAGTTTCAAGAAAGAAAAAAAACGTGATACAGTGAGTTGATATTACAATGTGTGTATGTGGAATTTAAAATACTAAAAATTAATAAACATAAAGAAAATTGTACTTTTTAAAATATTTGTTCATGTTATCCATTATCCACACTACAATGTTACATGATAATAGGTGTGTTCCACGAGCTACTCGTAGTAACTTTGAGTAACCCTGTGTATACACAAATGCGTTCCACCAGCAAATTTTCGAGCTAATGAGAGCATTTGAAAGAGCGGAACATCCCTGTCGAAATTTGATAATGTTACACAGACTTTACTCGTACATTTTATTTCAAGTAAAATTTATGTTATTGTGCGAATCAGCTGTTTTAGTTTGAATTTAAATTTTTTTATTGTTTATTTGCGCCGCACTGGTGTTCTCAGCAGACTTTACAAACCGTTCCGTGAAAATCTACGTAAAGACCGTAATTTGGCACTTTATTTGTGCTACGCTCTCAGTTTGGAATATACTTGCGTTTTACTTGAGTTTTATTACGAGTAGGTCACGGAACAGACCCAATAACAATCAATCCAAACACAAGCACGGGCCGCTTAATTACTAGTTTAAATGATGACAGCTTCAAGGAGGGACTGTGATCAGCTGCTTTGATGATTTGTCATTAAAAAAGAAGTGTCTGAACTATGTTGACACTGCTTTGTAAAAGAAATAGTTAAAAATTAGAAAAGAATTATAATTTTTGTGTAATGTTGCCGAAAACACCAAAACCAGCAGTGTGGAAATTTATTAAAAGTAGTGCAAAAACTCTTTTTATATTTGAAGCCGTTTGCTTTGCTGCCTCCTACGCCGTTTATTATCGTATGAACACGAATCGAGGTTAGTTTTCCAATACACAAAAACACAACGTTTTCAATGTGGTGGTGTGTTCAAAAGTTATTTAATCTGTGATTTATTGATTCATTTCAAATTGCATTAAAGGCAAATATTTTGAATAAATAACACAATAATTTGTGACAAAGTGCATAAGCCAGCATATGAACGAATTAAATGTAAATTATTCTTATAGAGTCATTGATTTGTTCTGATTGTTTTCCTGCTGCGTACGGAGCAAGTTTTGTCAGCGCTTTGTTTTGTCCGTCTGTTGGTTTGCGGACGGACATAAGTTTGTTGTGCCAGTCATTGTGGCTGTTCCGATAGTTTCTAGTAATTTTACCAAAACGCAAAATAGGTGTGTACGTTGGTAATGTCTCTGTTGATTTATCCATGTGACTTGCACCATATGGTCGTGTTACCTCATCTGTCAATATAACTTGAAACCAAAAAAAAAAATTTAATTAAGCAACATAAAATTTAAATGTAAATTTTACTTTTTGCTCAAACACAAACTATATATTTTTTCCCGTTTAATTTTCCGGCTGCCGAACATCTATTAAAGTATTTTAAGACTTTTGCAATTGTTAATGCAACAAATGATAATTTTCTGTCCGTTTCAGATTTCCGTTATTACATCAACGAAAATTTTCCATTTGCGCTCGACTATTTTTATAAACTTGGTGAATTTTTGGGGGAAAGCAACTTACGTCAAATTGATTCTTCTGTCTGGAAAAGTGAAACCAAGAAATTGGGTGAACATCAAAAAGGGGAATAAATAAAGAAACACAAGACCAGTCACCAGGTAGATCATCAACTCGAGATTCCAAAACGATCTATATTAAAACCTATATATATTACTCCTATTTATAAATGGCAGGAAGCCCATACGTTAAATCCTTATTTTGGTTAGCAGCTTTTGGTGGCATTGGATACGGACTACTTATTGCAACCACACCATCTGGTGAGAAGTTAGAACGTATCAAATCATCATCTTCGCAATCTTTTCCAACAGTTGAAAACAAAAATAAGCAATTGTTTATGGATCAACTGAAAAAATCAGCTAATGTGACAGATGAAATTGAAGATCCTACTAAGAAGCAAAATTAATTGAAATCGTATTAAAGCGAAAATTGCATTGTTGAAATTGAAAAAAGAAATTAACATATATTTAAACAAATTTTTTAGTTTTAAGCATTCAAAATGTATAACATAAATCCTTCAGTTGATCGCGGGGTCGATAATACAGACTCTGCAAATAGGACGACGGGAAGTATATTAGAACGACTTAATAAGCGCAACAAAGATAGACAGAATTACAATGACATCAGGACCGAACAACGCAATAAGGCTATAGTGCAATTAGAAGATGAGGATAATTTTGCTCAAATGTTTGCGCAACGTGCACAGGAAATAATGGCACAAATAAAAAATATTACAGATTCAGCAATCGAAAACAAATTGATTGATCCTGTCACGAAAGCAGATTTAGGGCGCTTGTTCAGTAATGTTACAATCGAGATACGTGATTTGCAAAATTATCTGACATCTTCAACCATATTTTTGACTGAATTCAAAGTCAAGTCCTGCCAGATGGAGCTGAATGAAATAACGAGCCTATGTGAACAAACACGTGCCAAACTTATACCCAAGAAAAAATTTGGCTTCAGCAACAGAAACGCTAATCAAAAATTATTACAAAATTCCAAAACACTAACAACCAAATTAAATGATAACAAAAACTTTGAATACTTGAATGCCAACAAAACGATTGTGTGGACTTTGTGCAATCGAAAGGACGAATACATAATGTTATCTCGTGATGAAGTCGATGAGAAGGATGTGACACTCTCCAATTTAAAAAATTGCTTCATTGAATTGCAAGGTCACCCTGGATCAGTACAAGCATCGCATCTGAACAATTGCATACTGCTGTGCGGACCGATAATGCGATCGTTTTTTGCTGAGAATTGTCAAAATTCTACATTTGCGCTAGCGTGTCAACAATTAAGATTACACTCATCCTCAGATTGCCGAATTTATTTATTTGTGAGCTGCCGTGCAGTAATTGAAGACTGTAAGGAAATTGAATTCGGCAATTATAACTATCATTATCCAAGCATCGATAGTGACTTTACCAAGGCAAATTTAAGTCGAGCCATTAACAACTACACAGATGTCGCCGATTTTAATTGGTTGTCGCCAGACACACCTTCTCCTAATTGGCGACTGCTGAATAATTGCTCACCAAACTGGTACGGAGAACTTGATAAGTTTAAGAACAAGAACATATTATAGGGGCAGGCATACTCCCGCATAAGCCGTCATAAATCCTTTGTATTTATGCTCGTCTTCTTCGTGCTTGGCCTGTGCGTGTGTTTACAATGGCGATCGTTACAACATTTCTTGAGCACTGTGCGTTTAGATGTAATTACGAAGCTTTCTAATTTACTCCCATAAACCCTGTTTTCTAATCTAAAAATAAACATTTCAAACAGTTGCAACTCAGTTAAGTATAAAAATTAATACAAATATTTTTGCAATAAAGTATTTACCAAATAAACTGAAACTGATTTACAACCAACATTTGTTTGTTTCAATAATAGTATAATTCATTCATTTTCATTTATTTTATTTGAAGACACTTTATAGACTAAATAAAGTTAAGAAATGTGAATTATTTTCAGAGGAAGGTTTGCAGTAAGGCCGTCTATTGCTAATTGCACGAGTCGATAAGATCAACCACTCCCCGTATTCACTTGATTTTACACTGTATGACTTTCACTTTTTCGAAAAGAATCCATTTGCCAATAGAACAAAAGCGGTTTGTGGGCGTAGAGGTCTCCCAAAAGGCATCTACATCTCAGCCAACGATACAAAATACTCATTTGACATTTATGCTATACAAACCGATTAATTGGTTCAGAAGGAGTTTTCTAAAAATAATAAATCATTTTCGCTGACTTTATTTATAAAAGGTAATGTTTGTTTTGGAACACAGGTTTCATATATACGAGTATTAAAAAAATAATAAAAGATATATTAACTAAATGGCCCCGCAGTAAGTAAAACACATCAACCGTGTACAGGTGTACTGCGAGCTATGGACGCACAATGACCGGACGATATTTGAAAAGGGTTTTAAAAACTTGCATATTTGAATGCATCGATGTTGCGGCACAATAGTCTGCGGTCTGCGGTGACAGTTTGTTTTCTAACGTTACTTGTGTTATTTAAAGTGATTTTTAAAATAAATGTTCGCGAAAAAATGGAATTAACGCGAAAAAATCTTCATACGATGATTTATTACGACTTTCGATGTGGATTATCAAGACAAGAGTGCATCGATCAACTTATTTCCACATTTGACGATGAAGTTTCATCCTTTGCCACTGTAAAACGCATCATTCGACATACTGTGAGATTGAGGGAACCCAAGGAGTTTGTTCTACCAGTTTATATAAAATATTGCCGATCATTAAACCGTGAGAAAGATTTGTTCTCGTCAGATTCCATCGTCAGATACACAAATAATCAAGAACAAAACACGTATAAATATAAGTATGAAATCGTAACAGGTGCGGAATCATGGATATATATGCGTATGAGCCGCGTCCCGGCAGTCGACTGTATGGGTGCTTCAAGATGAACCAAATCCAACAAAAGTTATTCGCGCTGGAGGCACTTCGGAACAAATGTTCGCTTGTTTTTTCACGAAAACTGATCATGTGGCAACTATAATCGTATCATTAAAGGAACGTAAAACGGTCAATTACGAATGGTATACAATGATAAACTGAAAGTATTCAGTGAAATATGGAAAACAAACTAGCGGTCTCGGATCATTCTCGATCTCCATCAAGAGATGGAGATGATTTGTGAGGGTGCTCACACATCTCGTCTAAAAACCGACTATTTAAATATTCAAAAAATCGAATTGTTGTGTCATGTGCCTTATAATCCTGATTTGGCACCCAATGACTTCTTCTTGTTCTCGAACGTCAAGAATGCTCGTAAATTGCGTGGACGATTGGTAGTTTTTGTCGGGGGAAGATGCAATAGCCTTCAAAAACCATGTTTTGGTGGTGTGTAAAGATTGGAAAAAATACTTTTAAAGATGGTTCAATCGCATGCAAAAGTGATCATCATAAAGGAGAATACATCGAGAAACAATTTTCAACGAAAAGTTAGTATTTTTTCATTATTAGTCTTAAAATATAAATAGTGGCCCTCGTATTGCAATTGTTTTGAAAATAGAGCAGGTCAACTCTATAAATCAAATTGGTAACAAATTCGTATTACACAATATTATCTTACCTTGATGCTCTCTACTCTGACGGCAGCGAACACACTTTAGATGAAGATCCTTATTTCCTTATAAAAATGTGCATAAAGGCATCTGGAAAAAACCTAACTTGAGTGTCGAAAAGCAGATAGACCACATTCAAGTAAACAAAAGATACGCATTTCTTGCATGACACGCTCAAATCTGCAGAAAAGCTAATTATGATCCCGACAACTTATAAAATAGAAAAAACGGCCATTTTTAGGTTTTTAATGGGCTCTTAATCCATTCAAAGTAATGATGATTTGAAGAGTGCTTAGCCTCATCAAGAATTAACTTCACTGATGTTAGCTCAGTAGCGGTAAATGTCAAGGTATTCATGATGTAAAAAAAGAGATTGACGGATGCAATGCGAACGTAGTGCGATCGATATCCACGATCGATGTCCGCGATCGATGATAGTGAATTTATAATGTATAATTCACTATCACCTGATTTTTTTTTGGAAATAGTGTAAGAAGAAGTAAGAAGAGTTATAATAACAAGTAAAACCACAAATCTCTTGGATTATAAAGTTGACAAAAGCAAAGTTTTCACTTCACTTCTAATATTTTTAATTTTTAATATAAGATATATTTTATTTCAGATCTCATTTATGATGAAAATACCATATATACCATAAACCATAAACAATTGACATTTACAGACTTAATAAATAAAGTCTTTGAATCTCAATCATTTCTATATTCTTTAAAATGATTAGTTTGACAAAAAATAAGTTTATCTAGTATCCGCACCAGTGCTTCTAAACAGAATTCATACGGTTCAAATATCACTAGAATGTTGTTATTCTCTTAGCGCTTTATAATCTGCTTTCATAATTACATGGTATAAAGTGAGTAAAGATAGATCGTCTGTGTAAACGAGTAATTCCCACATGTAAACTCTATTGTTGCAATTTAAAACTGGGTGGGAGTCCAAGACAACTAAAATTGTTGTAAAAAATTTCTAAGACAATTCCAAATCAGTATCATGACTTCAATAATAAAGAATGATTCGTTAACGGTTTATCCACAACTCGTTTCTCTTTAAATATTATACGTCAATGGAAATATACCAATATTGCTTTTTACTAAATCACGTTTTAATTTATATAATTTATTGAATGTAATATTTATTATTTATTTTTCGAATTATTGCACCTTTAATATATAATATTGAATTCGACAAAAGATGTCTTATAAAAACTTTAGAATTTGAGAATTCTACGTCGATTTTTTCTTTTTTTTTTACATTTATCCAGTTTGGTTGATGCTTCGATGATGTCTTGATATTGTGTTTGGCAGCGTGTTATAGCGAATATCCAATCTGAGTAGAAAAAATAATTTAAAGAAATTTAAATTAATATTTAAAACAATTTTCAAATATTACTTAAGTTCTTCTGGTAAACATGTTATGTCGATATGAGATTTGAGAACGGTTAACATGGATAATGTTTTCAGACTTGGGTCAAAATCCAGTATATGCATATCATTATTATCCGTTAGAGTTCCACTATCTTGTCCACTAGACACTGGGCTGAAAAGCGATAAGGGGAGAAATTTAACATTAAAAATTTAAACTTAAGGTGAAGGAATAACCTAATATTCAATCTTGTTTAAATCTACAAGATAGGAAAAATTGAAGAGCTGATCACTAATAGATCATAGGATATATGTACAAATTTTACATCGACATAATTAATTTAAGTATATATTATTATTATTTAAAATAGGCTATTTGTGCACCCCGACCTAAAAGATCTATTGTGCGCCTATAGGCCCAACTAGGACAATTTTAGACTATTTATAAATCTTATAATTGCAGTGGGCTTAATTTTACCTATTTGATTTGGGACCAGGATCCCGCTACTAATCGAGTCTACGTCTTGCCACCGCTGGGCAGTTGCATAGAACATGTTCTGATGTTTCCTTCTCCTCATGACAGAGTCGACAGGAATCACTTAAGTATATAATAAGGATTCTTTTATATATTCAATTATGTGTTTTATAGAAATAACTAACACAATTGTTTTTTGTATTGCATATATATATAGCTAAAACTAAAATCCAAACGGTGAATACTTGTAGTTATCTTTATTGAAAGGTTTCAAGGGTTGGCGGATTTGAATTTCAAAGATTTTCAAAGATTCAAAGATTTTTCGACGGCTCTACGTTTAAGAGCTACTCGTTAATTTTATCGACCACGTACTATGCGCTACACCCAAAGGGATTACATAAGCAGATCCCCGTGGACTGCAACAAAAACAACAAAGCGCTACTAATAATGACCATTCCACATTTTGCAAGAAGAGTACCAAGTGATTTCTTGGCACAATGGAACTACTTAGGGTATAACAACCAAATATTTATTAAATATAGAAAAAAAAACAAAATATTAACTATAACTTTTAATAAAAGTTAGAACTTTTTTATCTTTTAAAATGTTCATATGTTAAGTAGCTGCAAGTGTGTCAATTCTGGTACGGATAATACATAGGTGAAAAATATTACTTTTCACTAGTCATAAAGTAGCAGATTACTAAAATATTTAGCTTCCTTAAAGCTGAAGCTGATGATATTTGCAAAGCAAGTTAATTTGTTTGCGCAACGATAAACCGCAAATATAAAAATAGTTACGACGCTAATTTCCCAGTCAGATAAATAAGACTAATAAAGCATATTTTATACAATTTACAATTAACATCTATAGTAAAGAATTGAATATTCTAATTCTAAATATTCTAATTTAAACTCTATGGTACTTAAACCAATTGCAATGCGGACGGAATGATATTGGCAGATCAATGTTTACCTACAATGTAAGTAATACCCATTACAGACACTCGATGCTGTAGCTGACTACTCTAACTGTAGTTCTCTTGTTGCTACTGTTGCCCATGGTGATACATACAGAAGGAAACATTTAAGAAATAACAAATACGAGTACATGGATTAGAATTTGGTAGGGTGAGGATAGAGTGAAAACACGAAGTGTTGTTTCAGATAAGAGGTGAATTGTAGCTTAATCGTGGACAGTAGTAAAATAATGCATTTGTTCATTTTTAATTCTTCTAGCTACTATAGTTAAATAGTCTCTTTTTAGAACTATTGTTGTGTCATGATAACTATGTTGGCAATGTATATGCTATATAGATCTCTACGGGCTACTATAACAACAACTTTAGTTAAATTAATTGTTGAATATAATTTAGATCTAAAAATATATCACAAAGTAATAAAGGTTCTCCCAACTTTTAAAAGCAAAGAGAAAACTGTGAAAAACTTATATCATTATCTATTTTTATTTAAACAAAAATAGAACTTCCTGAAAGATTTTTATTTTCACCAATGGTCAGGACTTGGTAATGGAACAGACAATAGTATAAAGCAACATATGAGACTAACAGTCATCACTTAATCAAATTAAGGTATTTTTCCGCAATTATTTTAGTTGTTTTCAATTTAATTTACGAATGTTTCAATTCCTAAAAATGTAGATATTAAAAAATGTATAAATGATTAATAATAATTGAAAATTTTTTCACAAAAACTTCTGTATAAAGGCTTTTGCTGATTCCGCAAAATTATAACAAATACTACAAGCTAATTTTTATAAAATTACCTCGTGCCTCCAAACAAAAACATTTTAGATCTTTTTACTATGCAAACTTGACGTCTACGCGCTGCTGGTGGTTCGCAGTGTGGTTTAATAAGTATCCAACAATTATTTCTTGGGTTAAATGCATACAAATCATTGAAATGTTGATCTAATTGTCCATTATAGCCGCCAAAAATAAAAATTAATTCGTTGTAAATAACTAAACAAAAAACATTCAACATAATTATTAAACAAATATAAGAAACAATAAATTCTTACACATTGAATGACTTCGCCTACCGACAGGAACTTTGCCAGTAGTAGCTGGACGATGCCACACTTTAGTTTTAAGGTCTAAATAAACGATTTCATTACAGTACTTTTCCTCTTGGCTATAGTAGGGCCCTTGTTGATCTCCACGGCCACCAAATATATACATTCGTCCATTAATAGTAGCTGAAGTATGAAAGTCACGAAATGTAGGTGGGACACCAAAAGTTTGCACATATTTCCATTCCATTTTATCAAAATTTAAGCAATGTACGTCGCAAGAAAATTCGTTTATCTCTGTGATAAATCCCCCAAAAATATACATACAGTTTTCAACAATACAAGCACTATGACCATCTCTGGCACCTGGCACTTCTCCTGTAACTTTGGGACGAGACCAGCTTAGCGTTTCTGGGTCAAAACAGTATAAAATCTTGCAAAGACTTTCATCGTTACGACCGCCCCACATATATATTTTGTTTTTATAGGCGACAACTGTGTGACCATATCTAAAATCATATAATTTTGTTAATTTTCTAAGACATGAAATCTATTATCTCCTACCTTTGAAATGGAATATTAGGATATTTTAGCAAACCATTTTCATCCTTTTTGTAATTTACTAAAGACCAACGCAGTGTATTAGTATTCAACACATGCACATCGATTGCTTCGTTGAAACCATATTCATCACCAGCTGAACAATAACCGCCAAAGGAATATATAAATTCTCCAATACCAACAGCTGCGTGATTTACGCGGCGTGGACCGCCATCCAAATGCACAGTCCAATACATGAAGTCAACTATAAAACTAATTGAGAAGCAAAATATTTATTTGTGTATGTGTATTTTTTATTGTTCAAGCTAATCAAATGTGTACCATTTAAATATCAAAATTTAGTTGTTCTTAAGTTGTCCTTAATTATGCAATGTTAGTTTCCTTTTCGTTTTTGTTTGTCGCCATACTTTATATTAAGTACTTGTTTACATGCTTTTTCCGAACAGTTCAATTCACAAAGTGCATTTATGAACCGCAATTGTCAAATTTTAATTCAGGTGTAGCTCCGTCTTGTGTTATTTGCAAATTCCAGTCCTGTTATAGGCAGGTGAACACCACACTCTAATTTAAAATCTTTCTTTCATATAAACTTCAAACTACCGGATGCGTATTTTATTATTTTCAGCATAAACAAATTTAAATTATAAAGTGATATGACATAAAAATATTTATTTATTTAATTTTTTTGTTTTACTTTTTTTCGCCCAGAGAACACCTGTCACCTGCTTTCAATAATGAAGTTTGGGTGCACATATGTTTGGAAACTCTATTCAGCAGCATGCTTGTCAACCAGAACTGATTGATTTCAATAAAAAAACTAACTGATCAGAAACAGAACTGATTGATTTCAATAATATTTGAGTTTTTTGTGCATGTTTTAAATTTGTTATGGACAATATTAAAAATAAAAAATGCACAATAATTGCCTTATAATTATTAAGTCTCATTAATATATTTTTGTGCGGATTTTATATAAAATATGTTACTAAATTTGATTTCTGAAGTCAATTTTAACGAAAAAAAACCATGTTTCTCAGTCATAATTACCTGACTGAGGTAGCACACCTCATAACTATTAGGACTGTTCCACGAACTACACATAGTAACTTTGAGTAATACTGTGAATATACAAGTGCGTTCCACCAGAAAACTTTCCAGTAAATTAGAGCATTTGAAAGAGCGGAACATCCCTGAAACATATGCGACTTACAGTAAGGAATAACCAATACCTTTTGAAATAATTCTTATGAGTGCGTAAACTTTATTCAAAATCCAATTTTAGTTTGGCAATCGCAAGATTAAGTTAGTACTATACAGGAAAACAACGGAACATGTAAGAAAATAATTTATTTGATATTATTATTTTAAAGTGTTGCTTGTTATATGGAACCGTTATGTTGAATTACATGTATGTTCAAATATATTTAAGGTGTTTAGTTTATTTTTTTTTTTTTTGTTAAATGTTAATTAAGTACTATTTCACAACACACATTAGAAGTCATCTATTTGTAATGTCCTTGTTACGTATGCGATCAAATAAGCGTCGATGTCCGCATTACTTGTTAATTTAACTGCTTCATAATTTTAAGCTTACATTGTCAGCAACAAATCTTATAATCGGTGATCATTTGCTCTCCCACGTGACATGGCCCTGATACGTGAAAAATTTGTTGCTTAGCCATTCTAGATCGAGAAAATCTCATATGATTTTTTTGTTATATGTTTTACCTTTACATAAATTATGTATCTTAATAACGAAGTATATTGTATAAAAAAATTCAAATCATAATATTATAATTAAAATTGTGATGAAATACTATTGTTCCAATCAAATGATAATATTAGCTCTATTATAATTAAAACATAAGGTTATAGATAAATTATGTATTGTACGCTTTCAGTGAACTAAGCAAACTTAATTAGTGTGTGTCAGATCTAATTGATAAGTGTATAATAAAGTTGAGTTAGATAATACAAGCTCATTTAAAAATATAATGATATTTTAATATGTTTCATTATATCAATATCTGTTTGAAATTAATACTACTCTGCGACTACAAGATTTTTGTACACTCTCATTCTCTTTTCATACACACACACAAATTACAGAAATAATTCGTATATACCTATATATATTTGAACATAAAAATCTGGCCAGTATAGACATCAAGTTCGTATATTGTACAAATTAACGCATGAAATTGCTTAATATGTGCTTTTACTAAAGTAAATTGATGGTAAATTGAGGGAAATAATAAATTACGTCGGTATGGCAGCGAATGTTGGTATTTACCAGAATTTCGAATAGGGTAAATTAGATAAAAATTAGATAAATTAGGTGTTATTATTGTGAACATTTTATAAGATGTTTAATAAATAAATTTGAAGACTTTTAACCAAAAAGAATAAATAAGTGCAATAAATAAATAAATAAATAAATAAATATTTACATAAGTGCAGTGCAAAAATCCCTAGAAAATTTCAATTTACTCAAACTCGCACACTGCTATAATTGTTTTTTATTTTGTACCAAACATTATAAAAATTTTTGCATTGTTATTTTAATTATTGACAACAGCTATTCAAACAACGAAAATTTGTGATTGAAAGTGAAAGCGGTCTATGATATTTGGGGAAATTTCATTAGTTTGACATTTCGACACCGAAAGTTTGTTGTTGTTGACAAGCATCCAAAAGTGTTTTGTATTTTTCTTTCATTTGATATTTTCTATATTAAATACTGAATAATATTATTTTTTTATAACTAACCATAAATCTGTATACGTAACAGATTTCTCTAAAACATTGTAAAACTTGTTTTATTAATAAATGTCGAAGCCAAAAGGATTTGTTTATAAAAATACTCAACACACACGAGTCATGAATTTAAAATACAAAGCGAAATACAAACGTCTGAAACAGCAAATAAAGGATATGATTTTTGTAAGTAAAATAGTCCATCCAGCAAAATTTTCAGAGCATTCATATCTTCAGTTTTAAATATACATGCACACAATATTAAGTACATTTACTGAATATGCAATGTGCCTACACTAACAGATGTGGATAATCGTAATAAATAAAATAATAACATTAGAAATTAATTCAATTTGAATATATTAATGCTCTAAGAATCTCTCTAATACAAACTAGTTTATATATGAATATTTTAATTATACAAAAATATAAAATAAAAACAGGAAAACGCAGCCCTTTGTGATGAAGTTGCCGAAGTTCAAAGAGATATCATTATAGCGCGGGAAAATAGAAAGTTTTTAGCAGAACGGTTGATGCGTCATGAAGGTTATGAACCTGTAAATAAAGTACCAAAAAGACAACAAAAACGTCAACAACCAAAAACTAAAGCGCAGCCAAAACAACAGCAGAAAAAACCGACGAAACAAGAAAACTCTTTACTTAAAAATCAAGTCATTCCTTCAATAAAAGCCAATACCTTTAATCCTCCAAACATACCAAAAAAACGTGGACCTAAAAAACGTGTAATCGAGACCAAAATTATTAAAGTCGATAAACGCTCCGTAAGGTTACGAAATGAAATAACATTGGATGCAAACGGAAAGCCAATATTTCCACTCAATTTGTGTAACGTTTTAGTTCATTCAGCTGGAGAAATCATAACAAGCAATCCAAATTTTCACACAACGAACTGGATATATCCTGTGGGATTTATTTCGACGCGTATTTATGCACATCCAAAAAATCCACAGAATAAGTGTGTTTACACTTGTAAAATACTTAACAACGCTGGAATCCCACAATTTCAGATAATACCAAATAATGATCTTGATAGTATATTTGTTGGTGATACTCCTAGTGTATGTCATCAAAATATTTTAGAGGCCTTACAGCGTACTTTGGCTGGAATTGTTAGTTTACCATTATGCGTAAATGGAGAAAAATTTTTTGGTTTGTCAAATCCTTCAGTAATTGCTTTATTAAAATTGGATCCTGGTTATAAAAGCTTGAAAAACTTTAAAGGACTTAATACAGGTAAAAAAAATAAATTTAACTTGCCAGAAGAGAAGGATCCCACTATAAATTTTGATGCGCTACAATCCTTAATTGCATTATCTGCATATAACACTGTTCCGGAGATAAGAGATCAACCACCTGATGTTTTATTGGAGCTAAGTTGAAGCGTGTGTATGCTATTCTAGATTTTTATGTTATTTCCAATTTAAGAACTTATTTCCAATTTTTTTTACTTTGTATGTTATATTACTATAAACATACTTATTAGTTGATTTCAATACGGTTTTTCTAGATATATTTGCGAAGGTTTTTTAGTTTCTTCTTTCTTCAAAAATAAACTTAAACATATTATTTCTATAATAATTGTACAATAATTAGCGATTTTGAGTATAATAATGTGTTTACATATATAATTATCAAACCTCATTAACAAACCTGTACCCAGAACCCAGAAATGTACTTCGAAGGGAACTTTTTAAATAATTTAAATAATACATATTTATAAATAGAGTCCTTCGATTTACTTCAGGTGGGAGTTCAACCCCCACGTCTCTCACCTGGATACCTGCCTACTCACAAGCACATTTTTGTATGTAAGTGATATTAAAATTGTCACAAATGTCGCACGTTTGTCTAAACTATAAAAGAGTTGTAGTTGAATTACAGTCCAATATATTTTTGTAAATAATATTAACTTTAAAAAAAATAATTCTTACAATAATATTAAGGCGTTAAACCGGAAAGTGTTCAAGGTTAATATAGATGTTATTCGTTGCTTAATTTTTAACTCCATTACAAAGTTCAATCATTTAAAGGATTTTTGCTGCTGATAAGACAACAGTCTAAAGTTGTAAATATTATTAAAATTTTAAACTTCTTTATAAAAAAAAACTTTTTTTCCTTTTCTGTAGGAAAAAACTGTACAATTCGAAAATAAATATAAAATGAACTGACACATAAGCAATTATATTCTTGACCAACTCTAGATATATGAATTCTTATATTAATGAGAGAATAAAATTTGTTAGAATTTTTATTATAGTAATTTATAATAATAAAAGCATATCAATGAAATTATACTAGAATAAAACATATAAAGCATTTATTAATATTTAAACTTAAACAATATATTTTATTTAAATTACACTTTTCCAAGTCTATACACTTGTTGTAACTCTGACAGAAGATACAATTATAGCTTGGACATCGAAAACGAATGATCTGATCTAGTGACCTAGATCTGGTGGCTCATCAATTACATTAATCAATGCAGTTCACCTATCGGTTAACATTATTTTTATAATAATTATTGTTTGGCAAAAATTTTTTACTAAAACGTGTTTATAAATAATTTTGTACAAATATCCTTATTAAATAATCTTTTGCAGAGGACTACATCATTTTTGTGTAAGTAGATTTACTAATAAAAAAAACTATCACGTTTGGACTGCAAGCAATACAACAACAGCTTCCGATGTATCCCAAAAAATACACTGTTGAAGCTGATTATGGACTGATGATTAGCCCAAACCAAAAATAAAATGATATCAGCGCCCTGAACAGAGGGGACAACAACGAATTATTTTCTTTGTTGTACATGCCTTAGATGACTCTTAGTTTTAACGACAGAGTGTACCATGTTTTATATTGTCAGTGAAATCAACGAGACATTAAATAAAGAGTTTGATGAATTTATTATCCTCAAAAATGAAACTGTAATGTGGCCTCTTTGGTCTTAAGGTTTACCGTCAGTATAGTATTTTTTTGTAGAAGTATTTAAAGACATTGATCAACTACATTGACCGCCAAATCAACACGATTCCAGCTTTTGATGCAAAGACTAACTGTGCTAGTTTTAATTATTCGAAAAGTTATGCAAAATTGTAGATTAAAAATGCAGTCACCAAGAAAACTATTTCCAATTGAATCCCATAAAATCATTCAAAAAAATCAAAAAAAACATATGTACAATTAATTTGCTCAAATTGTAAGTTCCTAAAAAAAACACTATATATTTGAAAAATTTTACTAAATGTGAGATACACATTGGAAGTCTAAATGTTAGATATAAAAATATATATTTGTATGCAATAAACATTTATTTTTATTAAGTATATTTATAAAATTACAAACGATTTCAAAAACTTTAATGTCAAGTCAAGGTAATGAGAGGAATATAAAGCGGACTGAATTATAGGTAAAAACATACCTATGCATATATTTAAAAAAAAAATTTAACTAAATATGTATATGTATCTAATAGAAAAAATATAAATTCATACATTATTAAAAATATAGTCACAATGTACACACATAAATAAATGGATTACAAAAAGGCTAGCCATCGTTGTATCAGTTTTCGCAAATTTTTTACTTATTTTAACCTAGATATCATTATTTATCGGTCCCTCTCCAAATATATATATATATATACATATATATAAGTATATGACATACTTTTACGTTAGTTACTTCTTTGATGTTTGTTTGGCAGTTTTTTCCTTGCGCGATTGTCGGAATTTCGGAAAAATAAATTTGATACAAAAATTACCGGTGAAAAAAGGCGCATGGGAACATCGCTATATTATTTTAAAATATAATTAAAAATAGTTGTGAAATTTATCAATTTTTAAAAACTTACGTGGTTCCGATCAACGGTTTCGCTTCGTTGCCACTAAGTATGAATAGTGGAAAAAATATAGAAAATATGCAACTACTGCAAAAATTAGAAGATATTAGAAGATAGATTATAGTACTTAAATTTTATTATTAAGCAAAACTTACCTAACAATAACGGACGTTGACAAATTTGTCAAAATTGTAAGTGGTATACCAAATCCAATAAAATATGGCCAATTGTTTTCGATATAGCTCAATCGCCTGTGCAGCTCCCAACCCATATTGAACCACTTATATTCAAATGAATATAAAGAATAAAGCAAACAGAGGTGAACAAAACACAGCATTGTGCCAAGATATCGTAAAGGTAATAAATTAATTAACATGCTCTGCACTAGGAACAACGCCTGCACCACTAAACTGAAAAGAAAGTCTGCGACAAGCTTACTTATGTTCGGTATCATTTGTGGACGACCTTTTCGGACACGATATGCAGCGTTCGCTATATCTGCGAACCATAGAGAACTTACTAATTTGCTTAATAGAAAAATTGGCAAAACCCACATCATCCCAAATATAATTGATAGTATGGGCTGTAACCAAGCCCACACTGTATGCAGTTCTTGTGAGTTGTCACCATAGCACAGTGTTAACACTAATTTTATAGTTGGTAGCAGAAATTGTTCAAAAATGATTATACTAAGCCACGTAAACCCTCCATTTAAAGCGCAACATTTCAGAATTTGTTTGGTCACCTTCATTTCTCTAAAGAAAGAAAGAAAGATAGTAATTTAGGAATTGTAGTTAAATCAGTACTTCTGTTATAGTTCATATTTTACCCTTTAGGAGTTTTTTCTATTGAAGTCGTAGATGGTTTCCTAATGCTTTCTAAACTTCGCTCATCTGAGCTGTCACGAAGTTTAAATTCTGTCATTTCACTTTCTTTAATTTGACGAAACATGGCTGATGCTGATGAGGGTGTAGGTGATGGTGTTCGTCTTATATATTTGTGTTGATTTAAACGTAGCTGCTTTTCCATTTCTTTTTCCGCATTATGTCTATGTATTTCTGCATCAATAGAAAAGAGGAGAGAAATTCCTTTTATGCTGTCCCAAAAGCCATAAAACACTCCAGTACATATATTCTACGCAACAAATAAATAACAAAGTCATGATGACAAATGACCTATTTTTGTGACCTAACACCACATACCTTAAATGTATCCATTACTGACACTACTCAAAACAAATCGTGCTGTTATCCTAAATATCATTTGCTCTTTGAATGCATTTGACGAGACAAATGCATTAACTCCTGTTTGGGTGCCTTTTTGCCACTTTACTCAGCTGCGTGTTTATAGTACAAGAAGGTCTTTGTTGTTATTCCTGTTGTTGTTTTTGGTTATTATATTTATAAATTACATTAACAGCGTTGTATTTTTGAACAATTTGATTGTTTAAAAAAATTATAACTATTATAATTTATAACTATTTTTCAGCAAAAATTTATATAACAATCTTTTTTAAACATTTATAAATCTTATAAATCAACAAAAGCTACAGGTTGGAATGATCTAATTTCGACTTACACTAGTTTTAATCGATGATCTATTGAACTGAGGAGCGGAATCCTTTTAGTGATCTCAAATCAATCAGTGTATATAACTCTTGATAATTAAATCATTTTTTTTTTAGATAATATAATTTTTAATAAAACTATTTCACAAACAACCATATACTGTTAGCTAATGGTTTTGTATCTATTTTATAGGCTTCTCTAGATGATCAAATTTAGAAGATACGTACTCTGCATTTTGAACATACTCAGTTCCATCGAACGGTAACAGAAATCTTTTAGATAGCTTTAAGTACATTAACACTTAATTTTACCTGAATTAGTTATTAGAAGCCTAGTACATAGAATACTTGTTAAATACTTCGTTAAGATCACTATAAACACTTTAAAACTTAGTTTAACCTTAAATAGATATTACAAATATCTATGTAGTCTATTTTAGTTGACACCGAATAGAATGCCCTTGGTTTTAGTTAACAAGTTATACTTCTCAAGGACGTGCATAAAATTACGTTTAATAAAATAACACATATTTCCACCTGAATCAGTTATTAGAAATATCTAAGTATGAGTTCTATTCAGCGGAAAAAAAGTAGCGTGCACGGGTTATCAGGTATCATCTAATATGACATACCCTTAACAATACTTGTCAAGGACGTGCATAAAATTTCTTAAAACATAATAACAACTTATTTTAATCTGACTTAATTATTGGAAGTATCTACATATGTTGTTAAAGTTAACACCAAATACTAGGAATAAACCCATAGGTACCTAGATTATTTGTTAAAGATGTCCGTTAAGATCACTTTAAATATTATTTATTAATTATATGGAAAGAATGCTGATAAGGAATACTTGGTGGTTGCTATCCCTATTACTACCAGCTTTAGAGACGTCATTATTTTCCTTTAGAGACCGATGTCAATGATACTTGATAATATTAAAGACTGTTTCGTACACGGTATGAGAACTTAAATACTTAAGCAGTAGTTAAATTTGAAGAATTGTTAACAATCTATGTGAGACCCAATCGAACAATAGGTTTTTACTCTTGTCTACTTATTAGTTTTGCTTTTCCGCTGATAATATAAATTCTTCGGAAGCCTTGATTTACATTATCAACACATTTTTATAAGTATTTACGTTTCATTGATGAAGAATTTTTTTTTTAAACAATTAATTTGTTTATTTTTTTCTGTTTGCCTTTGTAATGTTATTGTCTAATGAGGACCTTGTATGACATTTTTATGGGCACGTCTCTATGTCCAGGATACCAGAACATATGGAGCTTTAAGAAGTCAATAGTTTGTTTGGACTCAGGTCAGTTTCGAGAAGAGATTATATGTATTAACAATGCATTAATGGCCTGATTGTCAATACAGCAATTCTCTTTGCGTTCATTTCAGTGTATTCAGTGTGCTATTTAAGTAGTGAACATTTTAGCTTAAAAGATATAGTTCAGAGTATTCTGGTAATCGGTATGACACTGAACTCACATCATATGTAATTGTAGTCCAAATGAATGAACTTCTTTCCAAACATCAAGTGTCAAATAGAGTTAATTCTTTACTGCATAATATGTCAAACGAGATAAAATATAAAGTATTGATTTGTAGCACGTAACTATCATTTAGCAACCTGGTAGTTGGTTGTTGTCTGTCGAATCGGGTGCCGGCTATAGCAATGAAGCAAAAATAGCAAATCATAATGTAGCAATGTAGCATCGCAACGCATTCATTGATTGCTATTTTTTAATTTGTTTCTCTGTTGTTAATTAGTTAATTACTTTTTATAATTCTTTATAGAGTATTCTGTTCAGAATCCACACATTCTGTTCAGAATTCATATATTCTGTTGTGAATTCACAGTAAAAAAATTCATCATAATTAAAAATATATATACGAAATTTAAAAATATTTGTGTATTTATTCAAACAAATTAAGTACGAATGAATAGTTCCGATTTCTTGGATCTAAACTTCTTTTCTTAGAGAGGATATATGGTTTTATTTTCATATTTACTTTTATTCCTTTTTACGGCCCGTGAACCCATGAGAGCAAGTACACAGGGCAACATATCTAATTACATTCAACTTAAAAAATGCAACCGCAATCCTTGGCGTCTTCAATTCAAGTTGTTACACAGCCAACACGTGGTTCCCCAAGGTTATTATCTGGCCATCGCAGCGTAATGAACTAAAAGAACGTAAAAGGGAAGCCTCGGATATCGACACATAATGTTGACGACCCCTTAAATGAACTAAGTACCATGATTTACGGACATTAAGAGTGGATGCTTTTAACAAATGTAATGTTGGCGTTACATAATGCAGGAAATGCGATGAACAGAACAAAGTTGCTCTAAAAAGCGAATTGCGCAACTCATCTACTACAGCTACCATACAAACAGCCATGAATATTAAAGTGGCTTTGTTGTTAGCAAGAGACCTTTAAATTTAGTTCAACAGTTCATTTTAGTGAACAAAAGGCTTGCCACTATCCGCATTAAAGGAAAATTTTTAAAAATCAATTTAATTTACATACCTGCACTGACAGATGAATGGGAGGACTTAAGCAAAGATAATCTCTACGCAAGACTCGAAAGAATTTATGACTACTCTCCCGATCACGATATTAAAATTGTACTCGAAAATTTTAAAACATAGATCGAGAGAGAAGGAATTTTTGGTCCAATGGTCGAAAAATATAGTCTTCATGAACCCATCTCTGATTAACCCGTCTGATTAATTTTGCTGCGATGCAAAACATGGTTTTATGTAGCACTATACTCCCCCAGCGTAATATTCATAAAGCAATATGACTCTCCCTCGATTAGATTGATTACTTCCATTTTAACACAAGCAACGCTTCAAATGTGCTGAACGTACATTCATTTAGTGATTTAATTATAGACTCGAAAAAAAAAATTTATCAGATAATGCGAAGCAACTCAAATCTTCACCGCTTCACTCTCTAACCGATTGAATAATTAACCCTCTCATCTTGATAATGCCAGATGACAATAAGGACATGTCTGTCATTTCCTACTTGCTAATGTGGAAAAGGTTCTTGGTTTCCAGCGCCCACCTCGGCAAAACCAATGGTTCGATGAAGAGTGTCTATTCTGAAGATTAGACAACTACGCGAACCGTTCGCGAACAATATCTGCAAATGAGGAAGGAAAAGACATTCTCTTCAGATGAAAAAAACGAGATTAAGAATGGGAGGAACGAGAATAAATCGAGCTGTGTAGCAACAGGAATGATGTTCGTAAGTTTCATAAAAAGTCAACTGTCTAAACCAAGCCATTTAACCTGACGCATCAACATGTATAACGCAAATGGTAATTTAGTTTCAGATACACAACATGTACTAAAAATCTGGAAAGAACATTTCTCTAAGCTATTATCTGGCCATTATAACAGCAATTTCGCCTTTTAGAAATGCACTGATCACAGTGTCACTGGACTCAGTAGATTACCACAGAATGATAAAGCTTAACTGAGAATTTTCAACAGGAAAGTTCTTCTTGAGATCGTTGGTTCTCTACGAGTTAATGACGACTGTCGATTTAGAATGACCAGCGAGATGTATGAACCTTATTACAACATTGACATCATTTAGCTAAATAATATTCAGCGGCTTCGTTGGCTTTGTTTAGTTTGCACGAATGGAAGAATGTGCTCAAAAATGCAAATATCATTGCAGTGGGAGGGTGAAGGCGTAGGGGTAGACCATGTTTTCGATGTAGTGATGAAATCAAAGAAGCACTTCGAAATCGGATCATGAGTAGTTATGGCCAATTAATCAGGTTTTAAATTTAATAGTGTTGCGTAAATTAAAAAAAAGAGTAACATTTTTTTCAGTAAACAATGTATAACTAGCAAGACGTAAGTTGCTAGTTCCTACAAATAGCACAAACCCGCTGAATGAGCCCTAGGTTTTTATATGTTGGAGTAAGTCTTATAAAGCTAGGTAAACTGTTTTGTGTTAGCACTATTAACTCGTGCTGTTCATATTATTCGAGTATTTTCAAAACCGATGCTATTCGGTTATTCGATTAATCGGATAATAACGAAGTCACCGGAGTTGAAAAAAAATCGCATTTCTTATAAATCCAGTCTTCGAATATCCGGATTTGCGATTATTATTCGTAGTGAAATTATTCGTAAGCAAAAGTTAAAAGGAGAGCATAAAATGCAAATGAACGCCCATTACACAAATTAGCACAAATTTTTGTATAAATAATAGAATTTACTAATAAGATTTTGTGTGTTCAGTACTTATTGCAGAAAATTATAGGAGTGTGTTTGTTTTATTTTACTTTATTTATTTTATTTTCAAGAACTAAATAATAAATTTACATTTTAAATAACTTAAATAAATTTGACAATTGCCGTAATTTTTTCTTTCAGAGTTGGAAAAAAAATAGCATTAAGTCTGGTTGAAACAAATTGGCATCACTTTTAAAATATGTTAAACGGTTATTTTTGACATAAGTTTTTTGTTATATTGTGTACAACATGAAATATAAAAATTGTAAACACTACAAATTAATTAGTTTAAATAAAAGAAAACAAAATGAATATTAGAAGAGCAATGAAAGCAATTTTTATTATATATTTAAAATATGATTGGAGTTTTGCTACAAATTTCCAGTAAACATTCACAATAGGCTCATTCTATAAGAATCAGAATCTATAAGAATCTACATATAGGCCGTTATATAAGATATAGTTTAACATAGATGTGATTACACTGATTACATTTCTGGCAAGCTTTTGTAAAAATTCTTACTTTTTTATTGACAAACAATTTTTTTCCAGACAAAATTCGAAAATAATACGTGTATATAAAGCGTCTTCGGTGACTCGCAAGTGTAGCAAAAAACGCATGCTAGTCTATATCTTTCCCAATTTTCAAATTTATGAAATTTTTGAATTTTGTTTGAATTTTTGTTTATATATGATTTTTGACAAAAAAATTTAAAAGTGAAAAGTTAAATAAAATTATAAAGGGTATTAAGGATTTTTGTGTATCACTGCATGTGTAAAATTTTTTGATTTTACAAAAACAATTCCCCTTCTTATGATTCTGTAATTGATTTCCAAGCCAATCAATTGATCATAATTTAGTCATATTGATCATATTTTCAACACCAATTACGTCTTGCATATATGATTTTCAAGGCTCTATTGTGAATGGTACTACTTTTTATACTGTTCGCTGGGTAACACTCTAGCGAAACTGTTAAGTTTTGTTGACAATTGTTTGATTATGTGTTTATTTTACATCCAAGAAAGTGCGATATTATACATACAAATGCACATATCTAAATTACCCATTAATTCGGCAACAGCAAAATCTGGCATAGTATTTAATATATTCTGCTTTTCACTTTTTCTAGGCATCGTTAAAATTATGCATATCGAATCTGAGCTATATTTTACAAATAAATAAATACATAAACAAAAATATCTGTTCTAAATATTTGCAAGACTAATATGCACAAAATGCATTCACGATTCTTTAAGTTTGCATTGATGCACATTCAACGATGAATAGAGATCTTGAATACCCCTATAATTATACATATTTGCATATAAAAACAATGTTTGCATTTAACTACTTCAAATGTCAAAAAAAGATGTTTTGTTTGAAAATGCAACTCTGTAAAGTGTATCAAATATAATTGTAATGCTTTGATTTGCAGCACTGTTTAAAAGAAAAAGAAAAACAAAGAAAGAAAACATTTGTTTGTTGTTGGTTTTGTAACTTGTCTACAGCACAGGTAGACGAAGTAATTTGAGGCTTTCTAGTATACGAGATACTTTAGAGAAAATTTAATTATATTTTGCATATTGTGATGTTATAGTATTTCAAAAACAAGAAATTATTTTACATTGGCAACGAATAATTTGACGAAAGTGTAACAGATTTGGTAAGTTTATTGTGTTTACAATTAATTAAAAAATTTTGAAAATTGAAAAAGATTTTCAATTCTTTTATTGCAAAAAAAGTTAAATCCGTATGTGCGTAAATTGCGTTCAATTGAATTGTTAGTACTTTGGTTAATGCATATAAAAAATGACATGTCATAGTTAAACAGTTTAATATTATTCAGAAAAATAATAATTAATTAAAACATATATGTATATATATCTACGTAGTTGAGTTTGTTATTTAATTTTGCTTATGGCTTTGCTTAATTAAAAACAAAGAAAACATTTGTGTGTTTAACTAGCAAACTTGCAATTATTTTGTGCCAATAAGCGTTTTATCCAATTTTGTGCATATACATTTAAAATTTTACATACATAAATAACGTCATATACTGTGCACCAAAGACGCAAATTTATTTGAAGTGTGAAATTCGAAACGCCTCGTACCAAATTTATCGGATAAACTTACATATATCAACAAGTTATTTATTGGTGAATCATCGTATCCACTGACCGCAGTAAAATTGATTAAAAATGAAATTGAAGTTGTATATATATTTAATTTTCTGATTACATGCAACAGGAGACGGCGGTTGTGACCTCGGGCGTTATAATTTATAATTTCTCTTTCCATATGGTGTGAAATACTTGTGAAAATCGTTAAGGAGTACAAGTCACCCCTGCAGAAGACGACAGACAAATTAAAAAACCATACCAGAGTTAATTGCATAGATACATACATACATATGTATATCATTAAGTATATAGATTATGTGAAATATTCGCCTGTAGATACACCCGCATAATTGTAGGTAAAGCATCAATGGCAATTACGTTAATTCATTTTTATATTTTTACGACTTCAAATAAATCTGTTTAATTATAATTATCTCTAATAACTAACTAGCATAAGGGAAATTATCACCTTATGCTGATAATGGAACATCAACTTTACTAAATTACTAAATGAAATTATTGGATAACAATTTGAAAATTATTATTCATCTGTGTGAGATGATGACGATTTTGATTTCAATAAATAATTAGAATTTGCAAAATTCATTTAATTACATTTGTATTAATCAAAGTTTTTATTTTTTTCTAATTGCAGATTACTATTGTTTGAACGAACCCCAACCTCGACTGAGTATTAGTGCGTTTATTTATATCAAAAATATAAACAAAAAATATTGTAAGTTTTAACGATCAGAGATAATAATAGGGGTCTCAAACCGATAAGGCTTAGACGCTCTGATTAGAATTGAAATAACACTTCTGTTTGCCGTAATATTATTTTGTTCTATTGTTTAATATTTTGCATAAATACCGATAAGAAGCTCTATTCCATACGCCCTCATTGAAATATCAAAGAGAACATACATATATAGTAACGAAAATATTACAACAAAGACAAAATAAAACAGAATATAAAAGATAACAAACTGTATTCACTAATACAACACACAGTGCAATAACGGAAACAAAGTATTACAAGGAGCAGTAGCCGTAGTCGCAGTCGCGGTCGCAGTACATTTTGAACTAGTGAAACGCAAACACGCATTACTGCATATAGAGATTTGAGTGTTTGCTTTTATAGAAATTAGTAAGAATGGATTCTATCATGGAAGATGATAGACTGCCTATTGTGGAAAATGATCAATTGGAACGTGCACCAACTCGTCGCAGTCAGGAAGATAATGAGTTAGATTTACAGCCCACAGGATGCGGTGCTACTGCTTGCTGCAATCCGTCGGGAGTCCTTCATCGTTTTATTGCTTTGGTTTTTATGTGTTTACTTGGATTTGGTAAGTTGAAATGAACATATATGTATATCTGTATATCGCTATCATGCTGCAGTTTGTATGCCACATAATTTTAATCTGTATATTATACAGAGAGTGTTTGTAATTTTGTAGTTCTGGCTATCAAATAGTATCTCAAAACTTAAATTTGTGTTCTTATATACATCGATCTATCGTTTTAGCGAATACTTCTTGTCAACAAACTTCTAACAGTTAAAAATAAATTTTGGTATTAACGACGTTTTGGCCCATCCAATGTGGGTACACACCCTCCTAATAGAGAGAAAAAAATCTAAATTTTTTCATAGTTAGATATTCTAAAGGATATAGAAAGCCAATTGCATTTGATTAATATAATTTTTAAATTTAATTTTGCTATAATAAAGCACATATTGTTGATTGTTTTATTCAATTTAAAACATTTGATGCAATGGTTCCCCGATTTTTTCAAGCCGTACGAATATTACGATTTAGTATACTCATCTGTTTTCCTACATAAACCTGACCTTTGGCCTTTCAATTGACCTTTGGACCTGTCTCATAAAAGCGGCCTGGTTTCTCCGTCTTGATTCTGGTTGACTTCAACTTGAATCCCACCCAGCCCACAATCCACTCTCACTCCCAAATAAATCCTTCCTCTTTCATACAGCTAATACTTATCCTAATCCATGTATTCGTCTTGTAATTATTTTTATATTATCTGCTTTACAAATCCCTATGAGTTATCTGTTTATCTTTTGTTTATTTTTCATATGGAAATATAGAATAATACGATTACAAAGAAATAGTTATATAAGCGCAGAATATATAAAATTTTATAAATTTTTTGATCGACTTCAAAGTCCTCATTTTTTCGACACGATAAAGTCAACTCTTTTATTTGTTCCTTCTTTTCGATTGTGTAGTACTAGATCTATATTCCGTTTACATTACGATATTAATGTTTAAATTGAATTATATTATATTAAAGCAACTTTAGTTATAGTTTTAAAATCGTTACAATATGGCAATTATGATCCAGCATGATCATACGCAGCAGTTATCTTTCAAATAGGAATAACTGTAGCAAAACTCGTACATTTTTACTCATTTATCCGAAACATTATAAGTTGAATGCTACAGAAATAGTGCATCACAACTGGCAGCATGACTACATTTAAATTCATTTAGCCCATAACAGAAAATGATGAGGAGTTACTGTGCCTGTAATCAATATTCAAATCGATATTGATTTCATACCTGTGTTAAATCCTAAATATATATAAGTTAAACACTACAAGAAATTGTTTACGGAGAGAAAGTCACGCTTTTAAACCCCTCAAAATTCGACACTAAACGGGTGTTAGTAGCTACTCACCCTTCACAAAGTAATTGATATTACGCCATGGATGATCTTGGCAAACCGCTTAGTTGGGGTCAGATTTCTATTTAGTGTAATATAAAAGTATACTATATACATCAAATACTCACTACAAATATCATACAATGAAACAATGTATTATAGTGGGAATGTGATGTATTTTACTTAAAGTTTTTGAAAATTTAAAATTATAAAAAAAATAACATTAATATATATTATTTGTGTTTAATTTTTTTAGGTTCATACTTTTGTTATGATAATCCCGGTGCGCTGCAGGAAGTTTTTAAACAAGATCTCAATCTGACTACTACAGAATTTACGCTCATCTATTCCATTTACTCATGGCCAAATGTAATCTTGTGTTTTGTTGGCGGTTTCTTGATTGATCGTATATTTGGAATACGTTTAGGCACTATTATATATCTTTTTATTTTACTCATCGGACAATTATTATTCGCATCTGGCGGCATATTAGGCACGTTTTGGATAATGATATTAGGAAGATTTATATTTGGTATCGGCGCCGAATCTCTTGCGGTTGCACAAAATAACTATGCAGTATTGTGGTTTAAAGGAAAAGAACTTAACATGGTGTTTGGATTGCAGCTATCAGTGGCACGGCTTGGCAGTACTGTTAACTTTTGGGTAATGCAACCAATTTACAATTACGTGCATAAATTCTATCAGGGCCACGAAGCAATTGGCGTTGTGTTGCTTCTCGCTGCAGGAACCTGTGTTTTATCCTTGTTGTGTGCATTAATATTAGGTATTTAGGTTGACTCTTTCAAAATAGCATTATTCTCTATTTTTTTATTGTGTTTTAGGCTGGATGGATAAAAGAGCCGAACGTATCCTTCAACGCAACAATAACGCATCTGGTGAAATAGCAAAACTAAGTGATGTAGTGACTTTCAAAGTTTCTTTTTGGATGGTTTCCATAATATGCGTGGCATATTATGTAGCCATATTTCCATTTATTGCTCTTGGAAAGTAAGTATGATATTTTTTAAATAGAGTTTTTGAAGTTATTAAATTGTATCTTATTCAATTTTTGCATAGGACCTTTTTCATGAAAAAATTCGATTTTCCGGCTGATGCAGCTAATAACGTCAACTCAATTGTCTATTTAATAGCAGCTGTTGCTTCACCAGTTTTCGGTTTTGTCATTGACAAAACTGGCTGCAATGTTTCTTGGGTATTTACTGCAACATTGTCAACTATTGGAGCCCATTCGTTGCTAGCTTTTACTATGGTTAATCCATACGTTGGTATGATTATTATGGGTCTATCATATTCCATGCTTGCCGCTAGCTTGTGGCCACTTGTTGCTTTAATTATTCCAGACTATCAGTTAGGAACTGCTTATGGATTGTGAGTTTGTGTGAAAGTATAGTTTTTTTATATATGTAATTAAACATTTTTGTTACTGCAGCTGTCAATCTGTGCAAAATCTTGGTCTTGCTGTAATAACAATTGTTGCTGGTATGATTGTGGATAAAACTCCAGATAATTATATATGGGTAGAACTGTTTTTCATTAGCTGGTTGACAAGTAAGTTACATAATCTTATGGTTTTATGTTATTGTTTTTATATAATTTTTAACATATATGAATTCAAAGTATATACTATTAAACTATTGTAATTAAACTTATACTAATGCATGCCATAATTTATCTTAATAACGTAAGCATATTTAGATATTCCTTATAATCACTTAGTTTGAACGTTTTACTGACAGAAGAGAACGACTTTCTGAAAACATCTATACAGAAGCTTAAGTCTCCTAAAAATTGTGTTAAGATTAGATTCTCATAAATCTTAGTAGTGGGGTGGGTGGTAATTGGTGGGCTAAGTAGCATGTTATAATGTAAAAACGTTAGCCTAAGTTATTAGTAAATAATGCCGTGGTAACAGGAATAATGAAGGAAATGCTTTATATCTACTCTATCGGTAACAACGAAAACTTTTTTTTATCTGTACTTGTATTTCATTAAAAACTTTAAAGAAATACATATGCATCATTTTAGTAAAATTTAAAAGTCGAAATATTTTATCAATACAGAAATAGCTTTCAATGGGATCAAAATTATGAGTTCGGATTAAGTAGGTATTCATATTTTGTATCATCATCTTAACCATAGCTAGCGTTTTTAGTTATTACGATTTTTTTTCTGACCAAAAATAATTGGGAAGTAAACTATCTAAACAATATATCAAATTAAAAAAAAAATATATGTATATTTAATAAATAATACAATTAAGTCTTGTTACATATTAATCATTATTATATATATGTTCTAATGTGATGTAAATATAAAATTACTTTGTTTACAGTTGCCTTAATTGCGACATGCATTATTTGGGCCTACGATAAGAAAATAAAAGGCAATCTTAATATGACACCAGCCCAACGTGTACAATACTCCAACACAATGTATGACAAGTTTCAAAATTGATATTAAGTACTAAATTTACGGGTATAATTACGAATAATTATAAAATATTATTTAAATTTGATCACAATTATTTTATTTATTTCTTTTAATGTCTTTAGTACTGCGACAAATACGCACGATGCCGGCTACTCCAGTGATCAGGAGCCGTTACTGGATAATTAAACGTTTATCTCTGCATGTTACCTGTTATCTGTTAACTGTTTCAACTGCAACAAAATGATTCCTCAAAATCAAAATTAGAACAATTCAACTATCAGATCTTGCGTTTATATATATAAATTGAACTGTTACCATTTTAAAATATATTTTGTAATATTTAATTATTGTCTTATAGAATTATATGCTGTTGATGAATATATATAACAAAAATTTTAATAAAATTTTTATTTAGTTTTTATTGTTAAGCAGTTATTTTATATGATATCAATAGTGATCGGTGATCGAAACTCACAAATGTATTTATAGCAATATACAAATCATTATGTTTTATTTTTAATATCCACTTTATTTGTAACTATATATGTACATATCGCAAATAGCAATTGGTATTTTATTTAAAAAACTGTTCGACTTTTATCAATTATTTTGTGATTTTTTTTATAACTTTTATGAGTGTGAATTTCTGTTGTACTATACTATACAATGAAAAATTCATAATAATCAATTAGTAAATAATAAATAAAATATTTAAATTTTAATTTAAATAAACTTTTTAAGTCTTATTTAGACTATTAAAAATCATTATCAATGTTTTCTATGTCAATAATAATGGAATTAATGATGATCTTAAAGTTTTAGTAGCGATACGATTAGTTTATATATTAAATATTATATATACATAAATATTATATACATGTATATTAATATTATATCGTATATATAAATATTATGTAGTATATATAAATATTATATATAAATAAATATTGTATAAATAAATATTAGATTGATTGAATTTTATACAATTTTTATATTAAAAATAGGAAAAATTTCGAATTATGTCATGTTACAGTACCTAGAAATTTTTTACATAAAAAATTAATGATGTCTGGATTTTTGGTTTATATATATAACCTTTAATGTTAAATTGAACCCAGTGATGAAAGTGATCAAGCTGCTTACTCCTCCCAAAAGAGGTTCATAAAGTAGATGTGCTTTCAGAATATTCCGAGAATTATAATGGTTTCAACAACGACCGCAACCTACATCACGGAGCCGTGGTGGCGCGTTCAACGATTAAGTGTCGATCACCTTCCCTAAAAGGGACTACACAAATATATCGCCACGTGCTACAACAACAACAAGAACAACAACTTACTGTTGATATACTAAGCAATTACGAGAAATACTAAGCAATTACTTTAGATCACTTACTTTAAGTCCTACTATTTAATATAAAATTAAAAGGTTGAATTGGTGCTCAGCTGATAGCTGATTTCTTATAACAATATTAAGACAATTAGTATTATCAGGTTCAACTATTAATAAAATTGAATTTTATTTCTCTATTCAGTGTTTCTCTTCTTTACAAGCATGCGCGTCATACATAATACCAGATACGTTACTAAGCAGGCAGTTAGTTGTCAGTATCATTGATGATTAATAAATATATGGACTTTAGGATATTGTATTATTATTATTATTATTACGTAATTGGCTATTAAAGTACCCCGACCTAAAAGATCTATTGTGCGCCTAAAGGCCCAACTAGGACAATTTTAGACTATTTATAAACCTTGTAATTGCTGTGGGCTTAATTTTACTTACTTGATTTGGGACGTCTTGCCACCGCTGGGCAGTTGCATAGAACATGTTCTGATGTTTCCTTCTCCTCATGACAGAGTCGACAGAAGTCACTTTCTACCGCACCTATAATCTTCATGTGGTAATTAAGTCTACAGTGTCCTGTAAGAAGTTCAGTATAGATTTTAATATCGTTTCTGCTTAGGTCAAGGATAGCATCAACTTTGCCGACTCTTAAGTGTTAGAAGAAAAACAAATCTACAAAACTATGACGTAACGCTATAAATTGTATATAAGTAAAACATGAAAGACAATCTTTCATTTTTATGTGTATTTTTATTTTTTTTACTTTTTATTGTCTTATTAGAAAAGTTCTATAAAGTGAAAATAAGTTACAATTTTTTTTACAAAATTTGAAAACAAGTTTAATAAAATTGAATTGGATTATATAAAGCAACGAAAGACTAGACTGTTATATAAATACATTAGCAAACGATTTTATATGTGTATATGTTGATAATTAATTGTTCGTAAATAATAATACAAAATCAAAAAGAATTCAAAAACTTAACAATTATTAATAAAGTTTTTATATGTTTTAAATAATATATATCCTTATTGAAATACATTATATTGTAAATATAAATATATGAAGAGTCAAATGATTTAAAATAATTTTAATTTTTTTTTTTTTCGTTAAATAGTAAAAAGAAAACATATATAATTGCATATATATGTATATTTATATTTAATAACTTTTTAATTTAGTTTCAATAAATAAAATGCATACTTGAGACTAATTTTTTTACTTCTTTAGAATTTTCACAGAGCCTGTTTGCAGAATATAAAAATCGGGAGAAGATTTGGCTTTTACATAGTTTCTTTTAATTATCAATATTGTATTGCAATTAGGTTGGACCACATTAGATAAAAATAGACAAAAATAAATAAATAAAAATTTTTACAAAATTACTCAAATGCTGGATTATGCAATTTTGTATTCGTAATATTGATCTGAATAAATAAATTGATAATTCGTTACAGTTAAAAATTAAATTTTAAAATTAATGGTCAACAAGTGCCAATACACATTATGTCGATGCTTGTTAATTAAATATTTTATTATTTGTTAAAATTTGTCATTTTATATTTTGGATACGGATTCCTCCATACCCAGGAGTAGACAATATAACAAAAATTTTATTTTTGTTAGTTATTTGTTTGGTATTTCGCTTATTTCGAATTCAATTAGTTTGAAATACCCGAATTAAGAATTATTTTTTAATCCGACTCATACACTGTATATGTACGCGAATTATAAAAATATTCCAAAAAGTATTATTTAGTTAGATTTTTGTTAGTTCCTGTTATTTTTAAGAAAATAGCGGGAAATACTTTAAAACTTTGCTTTCAAATAGAACTTAAATTAAAATTGAATATAAGAATTAATATAGTAACTTTAAATAAATAAAAAATCGATTGTTCGTTTATTCGTTTTCTTGTTCATCAAAATCGTTTATCGCTTCTTCAGCTGTCATAAAATTGCGTTTGCTGCCGGATTTAACTAGCTCTAAATATGTTTCCCCATTAAAACGACCACTTTCATCTTGTAAATCCTGTGTTATCAAATAAAGTTAAAAAAAAAAAAGAAAAATAAGAATCAAATCAAATAAATATTATAAAAACAAAATAATTAAAATGATATATAGTAAAAGTGAAATATTATTAATATATTAAAATAAGAAAACATGGAAGTGGTAGGTAGCCTAATTTGACTAGAGCTTTACACAACGATAACTTTCTTGTGTGTGTGTGAGCGGACACTCAACAGTAACGTAACTTAGATGGATATTAATTTACGTCCATCCAAGACTGCTATTTGTCCCAACGTAATTAGGTTCTTTCAAAAAATTATCAAAAAAAATTTATTTTAGAAAAATTGTCTACCCAAGATGGGAATTCATTCAAAAGTGATGTTCGTTAGAAGAGAGTTTTTAAATAGTGCTAATAAATAAAAATATATTAACAAATGAATATAAAATATTAAAAGTAAATATATAAAAAATATATAAAAACTAGTAACATATCACAAGTAGAATATAATAACAATAAATAAATAAAAATATTTTTATTTGTATTCTAAGAAAAAGACATAATACAAAAATATGAACCAAAAAAAAATATTTGGTTTGTTGAAATAAATAAAATATAATATTAAATATTTACAAACTTTTGTTTACGAACAAATAAAATTTTTCATTTTTCTTATTAGTATTTAATAATTAAATAAAAAGTAAGAATGGTAAATAAATAAAAAATTATCATATTAAATTAACACAAAAAAAAAAAAATACTAATAAAATATAATATATAATAATGATAATACAAGATATACATGTTTGGGGTTTCTTATAATAAATAATAATAACGATAAAATCTTATCTAATACATTTTTAAAAGTTATTACTTATATTTAAATGAAATTTTATTAAATGACACTATATTCTTCATAACTTAACAATCTTCATCTAAAATCATATACTATATATGATATATAAATAAAATTTATTAATATTTTAATTGAAAAAACAAAAAAAAAACTGCAAACTGTATTAATAGGAGACAATTTTCGTGTATGTGTTCACTAAATTCTAAGAAAAGTAAGCACTAGAAAAGGAGTGAGGGGGACAAGTACAATATATAAATGACGCGAAACAACTTCTAGTAACCTCATTTTTGGTCAACAAAACTGAAGATTTATTAATTTTATATACATTTGTTTTTTAGTTCCAGTGTATTTTTGTACTTTCGGATGTTCATTTAAGCAAACCTGCTGTGACACAACATCTATTTGTTAGATTTTATTAAAAATTTCGCAGTTGTGACTTTATAGCCTCATCTTGAGAATGGGGTTTAAGTGGGTTGAGTGGTGTAGGGCCCGATAGTTTGTGCTAGTGTGAGGGTTTGATTATGCAATGTTCTTTTGGTTTTAAAAAATGTTAAATTCTTTCACTGCGAAACATGCTTCCACTTTAAAAATGACGTACAGTCGAAGTTGGTGGCAATTCTTGTCATTAAATTAAATTAAAATTTTATATTTTATATAAATTAAAAATTTATATATATATATTAACGTTGAGCACAGGAACGCAATGAAATCTGTGTTATATGTGTAAACATTTCAACGAAAGAAGTGTATCAGGTCAGGTTTTTGGAATTACAAATCAAAACGCAGAAGTTTGTAAAATGCCGATTTATGCATAACGAATATCTCTAATAAATTCTGTGTTTTAACATACTTGAATGCACATCATCTGCTGCACATTCCAGTTTTCGTTTGAATGATGATCGACTATTAAAAACATAAACCTGGCATGTATAATTAGTAACCTAAAAATTACCGAAAACAATATTCAGTAAACCCCTCAAAAAAAAATTGTTTTTTTTCAAAGAAGAATTTATGGTGCAATAAGAAATCTGGTACACATACTCGAGAATTTATTCCAACTGCCATGAATATAATTTTTTCAAAATAATAAACTCAAATAATTTGAACATGAAATTTTTTACTTTATATGCATCGATAAGCAGAGGGCAGAGCAAATAATAATAATAATAATCAAATTGAAAAAATTAGTAATGAAGGTATCAGTAACATATAGTATATAATAAACAAAGCATTAAAAGAGAATTACGTAATAATAAGAGTAATAATTAATTTAATTTTCGTGAAAGCGAATGTGATTGTTTATAAATGTAGCATTAGTGTTTGTATAAAAATTTTATAATATATATTTATATAAAAGAGTTTATTTTAATATATATATTAAAACCATTTCTTTTCGCTTGTAAGATATATTATGAGTCTTCTGTTCTTTATATATTTTTATTCATTTTAATTTTTTTATTATTATTGTTATTATTATATACACCAGATTATACTGTGACATTATCACGACCTTATTTATCTATAAACCTTATTTTTCAATCTTTAAAATTTTAGTAGTTTTCAAAGGCAATTATAAATATACATCCAGAATTAATTTAGTGCATTAAATTTAAAACGGATTAAATTGATAATATTCGTTAAAATCAAACCGAAAAAAAATGTTTGCTAAATGTTATAAATTAATTAAGATCGTATTCGTTGTCTTTATTATAAATGATTGTAGCGTATAATAATCAGAGTTAAAATTTTTTATATATATACTATATGTATATGGTATACATATATACTTTAGAAAAAATTGAGCAGGATGTTTCACTTAAAAGCATAAACCAATATAACACTCAAGTCCTTAAAATTTATATAAAAATTAGATAAAATATCAAGATAAATGATTTTGTGATTAATTTGCGCTTCTTTTTAAGAAATCGAATGTTGTTTTTCGCTTTCTATGTTATTATTGATATGCGCTATTGTGATATGTGACTTTCTTCCAACATGATTTAGATTTGGCTTATTTAACGTACTTGAAGGATTTTGCAGAGCGGAGGATTTGTTGTTATTTATTGAACTTGTATTTTCATATGATTTCATGTTTGAAATTGATTTTTTGTTAGTTGCAACTTTTACCTTATTGCGTATTATAGATGGGCATTTCTCACATATTTTTTGCCAATCAGATGGAAAGGCCCAAGCATGTGGGCTTTTGGCATAATACAGTAAATGCTCATATTCATGGGAAATGCGTGCTAAAGAAAATATATGAAATTTTAAAACCTTATATATATTTTTATTAAATAGTTAAATATACTTGAATTTTTTGTTCCATTATCGCCAGCGATTGCAGTTTCACTCTTCTTACGCGATGCCATATTATTAGATGTTTGTTCAGTAGTCGAGTCCTTACGAGAAAAATGACTTCTTCTCGAACGTGAAAGACTATTACTTGTCAAATTGGAGTTTGCTGTAATGCAAATTATTATTGTAAATTATTTTCGGAATTAAAGCTGAGATTAATATAGAATTAATATAGAAATTCTATGTCATAATGGATACGTAGCCGTTTGGAATTCCGCTTGGAATTCTTAAGTAGTTTTTTAATAGCTACATACTTAATTTAATCGAATCTGCAGATTTTAAGGCGCCTTTACAAATTTGTGAAAAACATTTAAATGCTTTAACGTGGAAACCATATTTGTATATATTCGTCATTACACATTTATTTACATATAAAGTCATGTTTTATATACATAATATTTTACTTTATTTAATAACGTGTTTTTTGTGCTCGTATGTATGGAGCTTTGTACAAAAAATGCATAAAATAGAAACTGTACTGAATTTAGAACGTTGTGTTGGATTTAAATTTAGCTTGGGTTTTCTCGAAAACTAAAATTTTCTAAGGCTTAAGAATTGTCAGCATCTACTGTATATATGTATATAGATAATATATAAAAGAATCTTGTACTTTTTTAGAGTACAACTAATATTAGCACCACCGAATTCTTTATTAGTGAATTTATTTCTTTATTAGTTTTTTCGTAAATTTTTATTTAGACTAATTGTCAAAAAAAAAAAAATTGATCGATTATCAATATCTATATAAATATTTTTAAAAATGTACAACACTCAATTTTATTACACTCACCTAAACCATTTGCCGAAGTAAATACTTCATCATCTCCTTCGTGTACATTATTGCTTAGTTGGCCCAACATATAATTATATTTAACGCCACCATCCACTAATTGAGCTTGTGGGCCATGCTGACTTGTATTACCCAACGTAAATTGTGGTGCGCCAATTGGTGTACCTGGTGTTACTATGGGACTTACTAAAGTACCGTCTGAAATAACACCTTCTTCAAACGACGCTAGAAAATCAGCACTGCTGAAATAATCGTCAAGAACTAGTTTGGCCACCTACAATTCGAAGAGAAAGATCAAAGCTTTATATTATAGCATAAAAAGTACATATAAAATAAGATTTATTAACCTGCACAAATTCACAACAATCTCCGGTAATTTTTATGATATGCTGTCCCACATTAACAGTGTACTTATACTCTCCAAGAGATGCGTCGTTAGTTGAATAAGAATGCAAAAGGATTTGTGCATTTGGACGCATCAATTTGGCAGTGCCAGCACTGATGTTTGTATTGGACATATTATTTGGAACAGTGGTCATTATATTTCCCAATTGTTGTTGGGCAGCAGCTTGTTGACCAGTCATAAAGTTTTTAGATGAATTAAAGCTTAAACGGTTGGCTAAATTACTTCCGGAATTACCAGGTATACGTGGAGAGCCCTCATCTGAATTTGATGAAGCCAGTGAAGAACATGAACCTGCACCTCCGACTGCTGGATCTAAGCGAACAGGAGATGCATTACGTCGAATTGTATCCTCAATGAGTTGTTTTGCATAACTTTAAAAAATCATTCCAACATATATATTTCATTTCAAAAATGAATAATAATTTATATTATTTACTTTATTTTATCTTCTGTTGGGCCAGTAATCTGCACTAAACGCTCCTTGGCTCCCGGGTTAACTAAATGAAGAAATATACATTTACAAAACAATTCGAAACTAAACAATGATAAATATTAATAGTTCCAAGAACGACTGCGTCTACGTCCCGGAACTACACGTTTTAACAGACGGCCAAATAATGTTCGCCCCCTAAAAAAAATCAGGAAAGCAGGCCACCGTTCGGCCACAAAAATAACAATAATGATATATACTTATGATATATATATATAAAATTTATGAAAAATGCACAACTAAATAATAAATTGTAGTGGTGAGTATTTATTCTTTTTTGGAAAGGATTAAACGTTAATAAAGAAAATGTGCAATCGACAGTAATTTAGTCGTCATACACTTGTGATTTCGGAAGGTAGACACTGTCGCTTCTAAGAAAGACGTGAATTACTTTATTCCTAGGATAAATCTTTTTACATTTTTATACCAAACTCAGGTAGTATTTATTAATACTTTATAACTATTTTGGAAGAACCGATCAAATTATACCAGAAACTTTATCGGTGTAAGTGCTATGATCTTAGTTGTTAAAATAACTCTTATAGGTACAACCCAAAGTCATTGAGATAAGTGACTATGGAAATTAGACATAAAATTATGACATAAAATCCCAATGAAAATGCTTAATTTGTCAAAAAGACAAAACCGTCAAGATCTTGACCTAAATTAGTGTATAAGGAATGATTTTACAATAACAACAAGTGAGGAAAGTTGACTAGTTAGTCATACTTAAACAGTGAGTCCTTCGAAGCATTTTTAATCCAATAATATAATCTGACGAAACATATAAAAGTCGTTCAAATTATGAACTAGATGAACCTATAGAGAATGACTGTTATCAGTCGATACTGAAAATTTAGGGAAGAGTTAAAAGTGTAATAAATACCAGGAGAAACTGATTTTAGAAGCATTATTTTTTGCTGTTTCGTGAAAATCGTTTCTTTAAATGTTCACTGTTTAAATAAAACGTTAATATCTATTTGAGAATAATACATCATTATCGGTGACTCCTTTAACTTCTTCAACCAGTTTCTTTGTTCACTTAACCCGATTACAAAAAAAAATGTCACCCAACTGGAGCCTAATGGCCTTTATTTTTGAGACGTGATTTTAAGTAACTCAGAATGTGTCAACAAATTTTCAAATCGCTTAACACTCTCAGTTTTATAAATTATATGAATAACAATTATTATTTTTATGGATTAATTTTTAAAAAATATGAAATTTACCTCTTTGAAACGAAATGATCGTCTCACTTAATTCCTCAATCATATGAACTCGTCGTCCTTTAATGCCCATTACTATAGAAGTTATAAAAAAAATTTATTAATTATGATTATTTTTATAACAAAAATAGAAATATATGTTATTATTTTATATATAATTATATTTCGTATTTATTGACTCTCTAGTTCACAGGTTATATATTAAAACTGCAGTTAATTTTATAATAATATTTTATAATAATTGAGAAATAGTTTTCTTTCCGAGTGATAAATAAATTCGAGAATTAACAGAATTGAAAGCACAAAAAAAAAAACATTCTCGTTTTTAAACTCTAAGAAATTTTTTTTGTAATATCAACAAAAATTTAGTTTACCTTTTCCGGAATCGGCATTACGTATTACAACTTCATCTTTGCAGTAAGTTTTGCCAGGAATTTTCGTAGGTTTTGAAAATTTACCAGAGTTTCGTAATACTTCACCGGGACCTAATAATAATTGCTGTTGCTGCGCTGAACCAACATTACCAATAACTGCAGCGGCGGCAACTGCTGCTCCACCCATACTGGCACCAAACGTCGGAGAAGTGCTTATATACCCCATTTGATCAACTTGATGTTGATTATCTGGTAGCTAAACAATAGACACAAAAAATAAGATGTAAATTACCTATACATAATTTGCTATTATACAATATTTATAACATACTTCATTGGTGACATGCTTTGTTTTGTAATAAGAATTTAAACCATTATCAGACCATCCTTTGGCGCGCAATTCGATTAGCTCGAGTAAATTCAGTCTTGTCATTATATTTAGTCTTTCGTCCTGTGAAGCATTGCGGAAAACTACGAAGGCGCGATCTAAAGTATCTTTTGATACACTTTCTAGTTGTGGACCGTGAACACGCAAATTTTGTACTAATGTTGCCATTGGTTCCGTACTACTAACTCCTGATTGAAGAGTTATTGCAACATTTTCAATAAGCTGTATCAGTTCTTCAATTAGCATATAATTATTTTTTAATGATGCGCGCGATTGTGATTTTAGTGGGCGTGGAGCCTCCGGATTCTTCATCGAACGTCCAACGTGTGCCATTATCGTTATTTATCAATATAAGTTTCGTTAAATTGTCGAATGTATGAATATCATAAAATAGGTGAGTGGATCTGTTACTATTACTGTTTCTATTATATTACTTAAAACATTTAAATATGATTTGCTAGGTTGCCCTTAATCCACTTTTTAAACACTCTGCAAATAAAAGCAAATGTATTTACTATATATTCTAAACTATATGTTTGATTTTAAAATAGAACTTTTATAGAATTTTGGAATTTGACAATGTCAATATACAATGACAAATATATTTTTAATGTGTTTTATATCTCTCTTTTCGTATCTTTTTGTTTTCTTAATATTTTGAGCTGTTAGGTAGCACTTTTAGTTTTGCTTATTTTAGTTGTGCATTAACTACTTCCACACTAAGAGTGACAGGATTCGCTTTTTAAGTCAAGGCAATTCTTATGCAGTCTGACATGTTCAATGCATGAGCTAATTACTTTATTCAATGATGAGGATTTTTATTTTGTGTTAATTATTTAAGTCGCAAAACCTTATCTCTAACAATAAATATGGTTATAGTTTATGTGATCATGTGTCACTTCACCTTCAATAGTTAAACTTGCACGTTTGCATGTTTATAAAGAAAATATCTGGTCATCATAGCAAAATGGTTTCAGAGCAGAGACCCAACCCAACTAATTCTGAAAACTTGAATAACACATTAGTTATAGAATCCACTGCTTTGAAATTTGATTTTTTGTTATAGTCACACTATTTACTGTTGAAAATACTATTAAAACTCAAATGTTCAATACTGAAATTTGTTGACTTAAGCAGATGAAACTATTAGATTCACATTATTATATTATTTTTTTTAGTATTATGATTGTTGAATAATATTTTAGTTTGTAGATGAACTCAGCTTTGCTATTAATTTCACTTCGTTTTAAGAAGTATTCTTAGAAATTTTTAAAACCCGATTGTATGTCTGTAAATAATACAAACTCTATTATTTTTCTTTACACCAGTACTGTGTCCCATACATGAACCATACATTAAGTTAATAATACATTTATATTTTTTATATAAAATATAATTTTTTTTTATTTGGAAGATTTGCAAAACTTATCTCAATTTGCTGTCCACTAATGAATTGACGCCGTTGGTGGATAAAAAGTTACGTTTTCTATCGTTGTTATTTTACATATCAAACTATCTCTCCGTTTATCTTTATAAGTAAAAAAATTTTTATTGACCGAAGGAATTAAAGTAGCTCTTATCAAGATACAATAATGTTAGATAAAGTAAGAATATAAATTAATCTTTTAATATTTATAAGTTATAAAAATTTTAAGTATTTTAAAAATATTAAAAATTTTAAAAATTGTTTCTGAATGTGAAAAAATAATACTAAATAAATTTTATTGATTTAGAAATTCTCATTTCGGAAAACAATAAAATAATTATTTTAATAAATATACATAGGTTATATTCTTTGATTTTGAAAATATATAAAAACCACTATTAAAAAAATTTTAAATTGTTTAAATCCTAAAACAAGGAACATCGAAGGGAACGAGAAAGCTGACAGTTTAGGCCGCTCTGGTGCTTCCCTGGATGTGTCCCTTAACACTTAACAAAAGTGTCCGCTTAACAAAAAACTGCAACTAAATGAACTAGATGCGCGACAGATGGCGTGTTATCATGCGGATCAAATACTTATATTATATATATGGTTACCGAAATTTCATTATTCATTTCTTTACTCTTAAAAAAGAATGAAAGAATAGTAAAAACTGTATGTAAGAGAGTAAAAGTATTATTTATTATTCGAGTTTTAATATAAATATATCTGTTAAGATGAATTGATATTGAACTATGACAAGTTTGATACTAGTAAGATTATGATTTATTAATGATTTATTTATTAAGAAGTGAAGTACAGAAATATTTAAATACAGTTCTATTCTTAATTCAAAAATATTTCCTATTAAAATTCTACTGAGATTGGAAATATGGTATATTGTACTCGTAAGACACAAATAATATTTATTAATTAATGTAATAGTAATTTATTTAATTTACAATTTAAATACACACTTTTGCACCTTTACACCATTGATAGATGTTTAAAATAAATTTGAAATTGTATAACTAATTTTCCTAAATTTCGACATATCTATTATTAATAAATAAACTCTGAAAAGCAGTCAATATAAAGGTGGCCTTTACTTCACCATTCGTAGTGACTGTGAATATAAAATATTCACGTACTTGATGTCGTCATCAACAATAATCAATTCCAAACTCGTAACAAACCATTGTGGGTATACAAAGTCTTTTTGCATTTCCTATTTTCCCTAGCAAATGAGCTCGTATACTTTCAATGATTATAATGACATGATAATCTTTCATACGCATGTTTTCCTTTTTATATCCTAGAATGCTAAAATTATAGTATTATAATAATTTGTAAAGATGTTTTGAAACAATAATGATATAAGAAATTAGATAAGGCATATATATTATTAATCAATTTACCGAGACAATATAGTCTGTTACTTTCGAAAAAATCAGTCTCCAAGTTTTCGAGTAAAGTTGTACATTTTTTGCAAATAGACGTAGTGGAAATGAACCTATAACATTTATTAAAACGAGTTCCATAAGAACTGAATAATCGAAACTGTTCAAATGATTTTTCCCCATTATTTATGAAATTACTAGATTTAAATGTGGTTCATTATACATGTACATTAGGGTGGCCGTAATATGTATGGGGGCAAAAAAATGTGTTCGAATTTTAGATGCCACCCCCTAAATTTATTCGAATACTCAAAAAACTACTAAATGTGAAGTTTTAGACTAATCGGATAATGTTTAGAGGTCGCTCATCGACCTTAAACTTCGGAAAAATGCCATTTTTTCACTTTTTTCAAATTTCTTCGCTCCCATCTCGCGTATTTTTCACCTTTGACTATTTGTACTAAATTAATATTATTCTTTAACATATTAGCTTTCAAATAAGGTAAAAATCAATCAATTTCGTCCACAATTAACTAAATTATCACTAAAATAAGAAATCATACTCGACGTTTATTGAAGCTTTCAAGAGCAGCATAAATATGGGAGTAAATACGAGTACGTATGAGCGAAAGCACAGTTTCTTGGACACAAAATAGTACAATATAATATTTGAAGACAATCAAATACTTCCTCACTATATATAATTGTCCACACTTGATTTGAATAATATGCACAAAATAGATTAATAAATATAATAAAAGGAAAGGAGTCCTTAAGTAAACAAAAGAAATTCTCTTAGGTGTTAAGGATGAAATAACAACTTTTTGTTACAAAGAACTACAAAAATCAATTTGCAGAGATGACTATAAAGAACTATTGGAACTAGTTATCATCTCTTTGGGAGAAAGTTCATCACCAATATTCCGTGACACTGGACCAATGCACCATGCTCGTTGGATGTCTAAAGCCCTTTACTGTTTAAAGATATATTTATTTCGAAATGAGTTCTCATTGTTATCTTTCAAAGAGCAAAAGCTAAAAGAAATCTGTTTGTTCATAATACATGTTTACGTAAAATATTGGTTCAAATGTGTTATAGCATCAGAAGCAGCTTACCAAGATTTTTGTTTTATAAAAGAAATGTAAAATTATAGATGTATTGATAAGACAATATCTGAGGCTGCTATTAAGAAGATGTGTAACCATTTATGGTATTTATCCGATGAACGCATTGGTCTATCATTTTTTCATGACAACATTCCAATTAAAATTAAAAAAAGAATGGCAGATAAGTTAAAAAAAATTATATCAATGAATGTTGAAGTAGATAGTGATGATAACAATGAAAGCCACGACAATGTGGACGATATTAAAAAAGACGGAGAAAAACGAATTCTTTTGAAGACGGAGAATGTAACCGATTTTTTATCGAAATCACTAGAGGATTTTGTGACAGCCAATACCATTAACTTTTTTAAGCGATTCAATATATCTACAGATTTCTTGAACCTAGAACCAGAAAAATGGAACCAACATACAGATTATGTACACGCGTTAAAAATTGTTCACAGTATAAGACCTGTTAATGATACGGCAGAGCGAGGAGTAAAACTTTTCGAAGAATTTAATAGAGTCCTTGGTAAAAATGAGCAAGATAAACAATATTTATTGCAAGTTATAACAGATTATAGAAAGACTTTTAAAAAGTATACTAAAACAGTTTTGTCAAATAATAAATAAATTTAATATTTTTTTTAAATAAATTACTTAAGGACTCCTTTCCTTTTATTATATTTATTAATCTATTTTGAGCATATTATTCAAATCAAGTGTGGACAATTATATATAGTGAGGAAGTATTTGATTGTCTTCAAATATTATATTGTACCATTTTGTGTCCAAGAAACTGTGCTTTCGCTCATACGTACTCGTATTTACTCCCATATTTATGCTGCTCTTGAAAGCTTCAATAAACGTCGAGTATGATTTCTTATTTTAGTGATAATTTAGTTAATTGTGGACGAAATTGATTGATTTTTACCTTATTTGAAAGCTAATATGTTAAAGAATAATATTAATTTAGTACAAATAGTCAAAGGTGAAAAATACGCGAGATGGGAGCGAAGAAATTTGAAAAAAGTGAAAAAATGGCATTTTTCCGAAGTTTAAGGTCGATGAGCGACCTCTAAACATTATCCGATTAGTCTAAAACTTCACATTTAGTAGTTTTTTGAGTATTCGAATAAATTTAGGGGGTGGCATCTAAAATTTGAACACATTCGTAAATAACGGCCACCCTAATGTACATAGTATATAATATTCGTAGGGAGGTATTTTGAACAGTAGTGAATCACAACAACATTTTATTGTTTATTGATTTATTAATTTATTAAAAAAATAGTTTCTATTAACAAGCCTGGTTTCTTTCATCATAATTAACTTTAAAACTCAAATTTAATATAATATTTTAATTTTACTCAAACCGATTCAGATTCGAATGTAGCTACCTATATGAGTAGACTATTCAGACCAGAGAACTTCAATTATTTTCCTTGCTGTGTTTATATTAGAACAAAGTCATAAACCAGTTGTAGAATATTTGAATTAATTATATTTTTTATTTTTAATTGTTAAATTTCAATACTATTTCAATATTTCAATACTAT